ATGGGACCTCCTTTGCCAGTACCAAAATATGATCATAGGGTTTTCCCCCTTTTTTCTGGCAACAAAACAGCGGTGTTAAGATGTTAAAACACCAAACTGAAACCTTTTACAAGGAATCATGTCTGCATTAAACCACAAAATTTGTGGTCAGAATGCAAACAAAAAAACGTACTCTGATAATATATGCATTGAGATAGCTTTCTTTTGAGTCTAGTCTCAAAAGGCATCTTAAAACCTGTTTGTTGCCAGAAAAAAGGGGAAAACCTATTCTCATGTGTAACATATGTTAAACAAGCATACACTTGCACACGCATACACACGCACCGGTACGTATGTGAATTTTAAACCCCAAGATCGATTGCATTCTTCTTCCTCACATGGCCATAATTTACTGCAGTTGATTGATTAATTAATTGTTTCATTGATTGCTTGGCTGATTGGTTGATTGACTGGTTGGATTCCAGCTGTGACCCAGGCTGACCTTTGACCTCCCCCGCTCCACCCTTCCCCTCCCACCCCCAAGCTGGGATCATGAACCTTTACTCGAAGCTCATGGCGAGTGTCGTCTTGTCTCGCCCAATCGGATCGTACCACCATAACCCGCCATTCCTCCCTTCCCTCATGCCCCCCCCCCCACACACAACCGACGATATGGTACGGTCCATACCTGGTTGCCCACAGGTGTAACGAAAAAATATAAACACGTACTCTGTGGAGTGAAATGGTGGGAGCGGGGGTGTCTGTTAGCCCAATCAAGTGCATGTCCCGCGTTGGAATCAATCTCATCATCGTCGTCATCGTCGTCGTCGTCGTCGTCCACGATCTCTCCGCTGCTGGATGAAGGCCTCCCCAAGAGGTCGGCCACCTCTCTCGCCGTCTTGTTGATGCGACCGACCGACCGCGAGCTTGCTCCCCTGCCCTTGGCTGCCGGCCATCATCCCTTCTCGTGAGGGGTCCTGCCCAAAAAATACTCCGCCACGTTCGTCACTGCGCGAGTGTGTGCGTGTGGCCCTATAGAGGGGGAGCGGCGGTGTAGCGGCTAGAGTGCAGCGCTACGAACCCGGCGACCCGAGGTCGATTCCCGCTCGCGGCCAACACCGCTGACGATTATCTGAACCGGTCCTGGGCTTCCCCGAGGTCGGCTCAGCCTCAAGTGAGTACCCGGTGCGGTGTGTAAACTCCGCCACTCGGCGATCGGGCGTGGTGCTGGCCACCCACCCCCTCGTGTGCCGTGCCGGCCTTCATAGGTGCTGCTTCCTAAACAGCACTTGCTCCAACAGTCTGTTGCAGGCTACACGGGGGATCTTTGTGTTTGGCCCTAAAAGGATGAGTAGTCATGGGTGACGTTTCAAGCAGTTGGCCCTTCTTCATAGCATGTCGACAGAGAGGTGAGCAGAGAGACAGAGTGGATAATAATACAAGTTGGAGACTGCACTTGTTTACACCATGGGGCCTGATGAGAATTCTACATATTTTTTTCATATTTTCCTTGATGACCAGTTTTTAAACAGGCATGTGAATACATACCCAGCACTAGCTCTTGAATACAATTCGTGTGTTTTGAATGTGGACATTAGAGGTGCCACAAGAAGCCGGAGAAAACGGCGAATTAAGTTGCATTTGGCGCCGCGGTGGCGAGATGTTATCTCCCTCGCTTGGTACGCAGGAGGTTGTGGATTCGATCCTGACCCTGACGCCTGCTGTATATTTGGAATTTGCATGTTCTCTCTCCCCCGTGGTCGCGTGGATTTTTGTCCGGGTCCTCCGGTTTTTCCACTCCACGTTTAGAAACGTGCGTTATACATTTCCACGTGATGATGAGCCACTTCGTTGGGCTATCATTTGTGATAGCCAACTCACTTCTGAAAAAAAGAGCTACTGTAGCCCGGGTGGGGCCTCACCTGGTGAAAGAAAACATCGTTTGATCATTTAGTTGTTTTCGCGACTTGAACGATTGGATGCATCTGGGAGGCGAATCCAATGCAAAGTTGTTGAGCAGTTAAACAGCGGGAAGGCCCTTGATCGCCAACGACTTTGAGAAAGGACGTGGCTCGTAGAGGGAGAGAGCGAGAGCGGACGATGTGAAGATGCAAGCGCGTTGCATACCGATTGCATTGGGAAGGTGCCTGGTCAACGCTCTTGCCATTGTTGGTGTGATCTGTGCGCACCAGCCAGTCCCGGAGGTTTTGTTATTTCTGTGGAATGAACAGAGGAGTAGTGGTGGTTCCCGAACAGTGTTGGCGCGGTGCTTGGGGTCGCCCAAGTGATGCGACGTCGATGCGGCGTCAACGCCGGATGCGACGTCTCTCGCGAGCGGGAGTTCTCTGATCCACGCGTGCCTCTCTCCGCCTCGGCGCGCGGTTGGCGCTTTGTTCAACGTCTGCTCGCTTTCCCCTTGCCCCCACGAAGTGTCAATGTTTCTCATCCATTCGCCGCAGCCAGGTCACACGTGTACGTGCGTGGGTGCGTGCGTGTGTATATGTTGAACTTCTGTCACGCCGTACGTAGCCAACCGTGCTAATCGTACGGGGGGGGGGGGAGGGGGGGGAGACAACAAGCTAAGGGCAAAAATCAGTTCTAAATAAATTACTTTGTCAATCTTGAACATTAAAAAGTGCATCGTTCCCAATGGCTTCTCGAATATCGCAAGGCCAGAGCGTTCCAGGCGGCCGCAGAAGCACTTCCAAATGCGCCGTGCGAATCGGCGACCGTCGGTGTTCGATGGCCAACCGAAAGCCGTGACCGCTGATGCGAGGATGACCGGAGTTCGCGTGATGATGGCTTTTGATGCCCCTTGGCAAGACGAGCGAGGTGTTTGTGGTTCACTTGCTGCGAGCAACTTGGTGCGCAATGAGTGCGACCCCCTAACGTGTGGAGCCTCAACAACAGCAATAATCGCGTAATCTATCCATAAGCCTTTGCTGGGTCTCGAGACAAAATGATTGTGAATGGAGTCGCGCGCACAAACACGTTTGGCCCTCTTTGCCGAGGGATTTTTCACTTCCTGCGCGTGCGGCAGGAAAATCCCCGCTCCCCGGACTGAATCTTCCAGTCACCGTGCGGGTCAATCGCGCGTGCGTACGAGCGCACGCACGCACGGACGGGTTCGGGAGAGAAACGCGCGCCGTTCTCGCGGCAGTCTTGCTTGCCCGGTGGGTTTCAGTGCTTTTCTTCGATCTCCGTGTGATCCACCAACCCTAATTTATAAAATAATAAGACGGTAGACTCGAGATTGCCCGCGCTCATGGCGGGGAGGACGGCCGTGGACGATTCAACCTAAAAAAAAGAAATCACCATTTTCTGAGCATCTCTCTGCCAAAGACCACTAACATGGATACAAATTATGTTTAAGTTAAGAAGATTTCGCTTGTCAATGAACAAAAATTTGTGGTAAAGAATGCATTGATCTTGTTTTATTACAAAAGTACTTGCAAAGACACATACTCACTCACTTAAACAGGTTTGAATAACTGATCGGATGAATTCGCCCAAAATGAAGCACAACCGACCATTTCGATTGCTGCTCTTTCGACTTAGAATGAATGCAAACGATCGACGACCGATCGATGCACGTGCTCAGTGACACTTTGCTGCTCCCACCAGGCAGAAGGCTCTGCCCACTCAGTGGACAGCAGCAGAGCCACGCCAATCAACGGCAAGCAGACTCCGCCACCCACTGTTGTAAAGATATTGCAACTACTGTGCTGTAGGGGCGATCACGTGTGTTTTCGGAATAAGCGGAGCAACGTAGTTTAAGCACGTGACTTGTAGTAAACATTTCCCAAAAATAACAACGCATCACCGTTTTTAAAAGATGATTAATTTGAGTTCGAGGGAAACATCCACGAGTTGATAATGTATGTCAACACCTCAGGTGCGCAAGGTTAATCCGCAAATTGGATAAACCGCACGCGGACACATCGAGAGGCTACTGTAGTTTGTTTTTAATGGCGCGAACCCTTCTTTATTTACATGCAGGGCTACCTCGCAGCGTTTTACACGCGATAAGCGACTTGCATCTCAAACGTTGGTACGAGTTTCCACCCCCCGTGACCCACCCCCCCCGCTCTACCTATCCGCCCCCCTCCATACGTACCATCTAGTAGGTACGTATGGAGGAGGGTCAACCCAAATGCGTACGCTTGCGTATGGGGGGTCTACTGACAATGTACGCATAGGAAATGGGGGGGGGGGGGGGTGAAGCCTCGATTAGAATTTGTCGACATTGGCCTTCAAATTAGTTAGATGGTCAGGCGGTGGACTATCTGTTTGCTTAAACACGTGAATATTATTAATCCTTGATCGTTTCTGCGTGGATTAAATATCGGCCGTTCTATAGGATTCGGGGGGGGCGGTGCATCAAGCTGTACGTACGCAGGTGGGGGGGGGGGGTGTAAAAAGTACGCGTGCGTACAGGGAGGGGGGAGGGGTCAGGCTTTGACATATTTTGCGCACGCACTAAATCGATGGCCAACTAGCTGCCAATGTATCTCCCGTGCATGTCCCAAGCAATGTCGGACTTGGCACAGAGAGCTCGGGCTCTCTGTGCCCCCCGCGTCGTGTTCTCTGTAACCCGCCTGCCAGTGCGTGTGTGAGCGCAACGGGCAGCCGTGCCACGCGGGACGCTCTCTCGCTCTTTCTCTCTGTCTCTGTCTCTCCATCTCTCTCTGTCTCTCCATGTCTCTCTCTGTCTCTCTCTATTTCTCTGTCTCTGTGTCTCTCTCTGTCTTTCTCTCTGTCTCTCCATGTCTCTCTCTGTCTCTCTCTCTGTTTCTGTCTCTGTGAGTCTCTCTCTCTTTCTCTCTGTCTTTCTCTCTGTCTCTCCATGTCTCTCTCTGTCTCTCTCGCTCTTTCTCTCTGTCTCTGTCTCTCCATCTCTCTCTCTGTCTCTGTCTCTCCATCTCTCTCTCCATGTCTCTCTCTGTCTCTCTCTCTCTATTTCTCTGTCTCTGTGTGTCTCTCTGTCTCTCGCGACGACGACGACCCCCCTTTGTGAACGCTAAGCGACGTCGTCCCTGTCTCCCCCCTGCAGGCCTCCGCAGGCCGTCGTCACCGCCAGGGGCAATGAAGCCCAGTCGGCGCGGCGGCACCACCGGCGTCACGCTCCCGGCCGCGCTGGCGATTGTCGCCGTCCTCCTGCCCTTGTGCTCCACCGCCGTCGCCACGCCGTTCTCGCCCGACGTGGAGCTGCAGAAGATGGTGCTGGAGCCGAACTCGGGCGCGCTCATCGTGGCCGGCGACAACACCCTGTTCCGGCTGGCGCCCGACCTGAGCGTGGAGCACACGGAGGAACTCTGCTGCTCGTCCTCCTCCTCCGCCGCCGCCGCCGCCGCCTGCCCCAGCATCACCTGTTCCGGCGGCGCTTCCGGCCAGCCCTGTCGCAACCCCGTGATGTTGCTGACGCTGCTGCCCGGCGCCGCCGAGCAGCTGGTGGTGTGCGGCAACGCGACGTGCGGGCCGCTGGAGGCGGGCGCCTGCGAGGTGCGCTCGTCCGCCAACCTGTCGCGGGCGCTCCACTCCAGCGCCAAGTACTGCAACTACAGGTACACAAAGGTGGCCGGCGAGCAGAGCGCCGCGGTGGCGGTGGCGGCGCCCGGCGGCGGCGCGGGGCACGTCCTCTACGTGGGCCTGGGCCACGCCAACTCGTTCAGGGGCCACCCGCTGTCCATGCAGGACTTGACGGGCAACGTGCTGTGCAGGATGGACCACGCGTCCATGGCGCTGTGCAACCCGTACGGGCTGTACGAGCACCTGTTCGTGGCGGCCTTGGCCACCGAGAGCCACGCCTTCTTCGTGTTCCAGCGGAGGAACGGCACGAGTAAGGCGGTCGCCGGCGCGAGCCACCCGTACCTCACCTACGTGGGCCGCCTGTGCCTCAACGACGTCAACTACTACTCCTACGTGGAGGTGCCCGTGCGGTGCGAGGCCCGACCCGGCGGCGGGCCCGAGAGGCTCGCGAGCGCCGCGTGGCTCGGCGAGCCGGGGGCCGCCCTGGCGGGAGGGGGGGCGACGCTGGTGGTCGCGTTCGTCGACGCGGGTGGCAGGAAGCGCTCGGCGCTGTGCGCCTTCCCGCTGAGCGCCCTCGACGCCAAGATCGACGAGACAAGGCAGGCGTGCTACACCAAGCAGAGCCCCAAGAGCAACAACGACGTGTACCTCCCGTACCGCGAGAACGAGGGCGAAGACTGCACCGCCAACACGCCGGTGAGGTTTCCGGTCAGAGGTCGGTGGGGAGGGCGGGGTGGTGGGGGGGGGGGGGCTCGTGAAAAAGTCGTCGTCCCCCCCCCCCCCCAAAGTCGTCGTTGTCGTCCCCCCCTCACCCCCACCCCCTTCCTGCTTGAGGAAGGCCTTCAGATACACATGGGAGTGGTGGTGAGTGGGGGAGTGGTGGGGGAGTGGTGGTGAGTGGATGAGTGGGGGGGGGTGAGGAGTGGGGGGGTAAGGAGTGGGGGGGGGTGAGGAGTGGGGGGATGAGGAGTGGGGGGGGGGTGGTGAGGAGTGGGGGGGATGAGGAGTGGGGGGGGGATGAGGAGTGGGGGGCGTGAGGAGTGGGGGGGGGATGAGGAGTGGGGGGGGGATGAGGAGTGGGGGGGGGATGAGGAGTGGGGGGGGATGAGAGTGGGGGGGGGTGAAGAGTGGGGGGGGATGAGGAGTGGGGGGGGGATGAGGAGTGGGGGGGGATGATGAGGAGTGGGGGGGGATGAGGAGTGGGGGGGGATGAGGAGTGGGGGGGGGGGATGAGGAGTGGGGGGGGTGGTGAGGAGTGGGGGGGGTATGAGGAGTGGGGGGGGATGAGGAGTGGGGGGGCGATGAGGAGTGGGGGGGGGGGATGAGGAGTGGGGGGGGGGATGAGGAGTGGGGTGGGCGTGAAGAGTGGGGGGGTGAGGAGTGGGGGGGGGGGCGAGTGGGTAAGTGGGGGGAGGCGAGTGGATGGAGACGCCCAGCTCCACAAGGATGGCATCGCACAGGGTGAGGAACGCCGCCAGGTCCACCTGAGGGTGGTGTGAGGGTGGTGTGAGGGTGGTGTGAGGGTGGTGTGAGGGTGGTGTGAGGGTGATGTGAGGGTGGTGTGAGGGTGGTGAGTGGCTGGGGTGAGTGGCTGGGGTGAGTGGCTGGGGTGAGTGGCTGGGGTGAGTGGCTGGGGTGAGTGGCTGGGGTGAGTGGGTGATTGATTAAATGAGTAAGCGGACGATTAGAAGTCTTCCGCCATCACAAGTGTGTCCGTCTCTCCTCGTCTTGCTGGAAGACCCTACCAGCCACACGCACGGCCTTCTGGGAGCGCGCAATTTGAGCAGCATTGGTTCAAGACGAGCAAACTTGGGCCGGTTTCGACACGTGGAGGTCGGGCTCGCTTGAATCGATAATGGGACATCTGCCAAACGTTTATAAGCAAGGCCCACTGAGCTATCAGCTTCTTTTTTCAGAAGCGGCCTGGCCATAAATGATAGCTCAACGAAGTGGCTTACAACGTGGAAATGTATAGCGGCCGAATCCTCTAAACGCGTGGTGATGTTGATTCTGAATGTGGAGGGAAAAACCGGAGGATCCGGAGAAAAAAATCCGCGTGACCACAGGGAGAGAGAGAGAAGGCAAGCTCCAAATATAGAGCAGCAGGCGTCAGGGTTGGGCTCAATCCCCCCAGCCTCCTGCATACCAGGCGAGGTTGTTAATATCTCACCACCGCAAACAAGTGGAGGCTTGGGCCACGTCACAGCCCCCCAATCTTCCGTATTGAAGAACGACTACACAAAACACTCTTGTCTCTGACACTGGCCTTAATAGGCTCTCGCTGACACCGCCCTACCTCCCCGTGTGCCCCCCCCGCCCACCCACCGTGCCGCGACCGAAGGCGCACAACGTGGCACAGTGGCCGTGCGGGAGTGACCACCTGACCAAGATCCTGGCGAGCCGCTCGGGGGTGTCACGGCGCCCGCTGCTCGAGCTCAACGTCACGCTGCTCTCCTCCGTCGCCGTGACGACCGAGAATGGCCACACCGTCGCCTTCCTGGGCGACCACGACGGTTTCGTGCACAAGGTGCGCCCCCTCTCCCCCCCCCCCCCCCCCTCCTCCCACTGCCCCCCCCTCCTCTCTTCCGCACGACCCAACGCTCCAAGCTGAGATGTTGACCACCTCGCCTGGTACACAGGAGGTCGTGGGTTCGATCCCGACCCTGATGCCTGCTCTATATTTGGAGTTTGCGTGTGTGTCTACTCTCTCTCCCCGCTGTCACGTGGATTTTTCTCCGGGTCCTCCGGTTTTTCCCTTCACGTTTATAATCAACACCATGCGTTTTAAGAGCATTTGGCTGCTATAAATTGCCACGTGATAGGCTACTTGGTTGAGCTATCATTTGCGATAGCCCAGTCGCTTCTGAAAAAGAGCTAGATAGCTCAGTGGGCCTTACCTGGTAAAATAAAATAAAAAAAATCTAGTTTATATTCTTGGTTCTTTCGGTAAAGTCACGTACAAGGGGATCAATAAAATAATACAAATATAAAACAATAAAATTCTCACGACGTTTCGACTGCAACACAAGCAATCATCATCAGGTGTGAAAGCCACAGCAAGAACATTTTTCAAATTTTCTTGCTGTGGTTTTCACACCTGATGATGATTGCTTGTGTTGCAGTCGAAACGTCGTGAGAATTTTATTGTTTTATATTTTTATTATTTTATTGTTTCCCTTATACGTGTTTACCGAAAGAACCAAGAATATGAATCCCTGCAGTCACGAAAGCTTTAAATAAAAATGTATAGTGTAGTTTTAGTTCGTAGTTTCTTCTGTAGCGATTGCCGTGCAAAATAACCGCGGCCCCTTACCCACCCACCACCTCGCTTGAGCTTCACTCTCAGACGCGGACGAATTTCTGCGCGAAGTAACCACGGTGCCTGAGCCCCTGCCGCTGCTGAACGTCGTCGTGAGTGTCGTGGTGAGCGTCTTGGTGGGCGTGGCAGTGAGCGTCGTGGTGAGTGGAGTGGCGAGAATCTCGGTGAGCGGCGTGTGTCGCAGTTGGAGTGGTGGTGGGTGTCGTGGCGAGGGTCTCGGTGGGCGTCGTGGCGAGTGTCGTGGCGAGGGTCACAGCGAAACGTGGTGGTGAGCATGCCGTGCCTGCGTGCCGCACAGGCGTACCTGGGCCAGGGTGAGACGTCCCGTGTCTACGGGAAAGTCAAGGTCGGCTCTGGCCAGCGCGACCCCATCAACAAAGACTCGGTGCTGGACCCCAAGGGGCAGCACCTCTACGTGTTGAACACGCGCGAGGTGGGGACACGGCAGTACACCACACGGTACACCACACGGTACACCACACGGTACACCACCACGCGGCACACTGTGATACACCACGTGGCACACTGTGATACACCACGTGGCACACTGTGATGCACCACGCGGCACACTGTGATACACCACGCGGCACACTGTGATACACCACGTGGCACACTGTGATACACTATACGGTACACCAGGGTGCACCACCACGCGGCACACTGTGATACACCACGTGGCACACTGATACACCACGTGGCACACTGTGATACACCACGTGGCACACTGTGATACACCACGTGGCACACTGTGATACACCACGTGGCACACTGTGATACACCACGTGGCACACTGTGATATACCATACGGTACACGAGGGTGAACCACCACGCAGTACACCAGGTACAACAGCTGTCAACTCTTACAGTTGCCTAGCTACTGGTTTAGAAGTTAATGATTGCCTGGTTGCCTGTTTACTCTGTTACCTGTTTACTCTGTTACCTGTTTACCCAATGGACTGATGTCTCAGGTGTGGAGTGTGCCCTGTGTTGCTTGGTATCAGAGGAGTCTAGTTGCCCCATTGCAAATGTAAAATGTTCTCTCAGTTGACGTCATTGCAAGCTTTTCCAGTCACTGCTTTCCCATTCACCAGTCACTCAGTAACCTGTTTTCCCATTCACCCAGTTACTCAGTCACCTATTTTCCCATTCACCCAGTCACTCAGTCACCTGTTTTCCCATTCGCCCAGTTACTCGGTAACCTGTTTTCCCATTCACCAGTCACTCAGTAGCCTGTTTCCCCATTCATCCAGTCGGTCACCTGTTTTCCCATTCACCCAGTTACTCAGTCACCTGTTTTCCATTCGCCCAGTCGGTCACCTGTTTTCCCATTCATCCAGTCACTCAGTCACCTGTTTTCCTATTCACCCAGTTACTCAGTCACCTATTTTCCCATTCACCCAGTCACTCAGTCACCAGTTTTCCCATTCACCAGTCAGTCACCTGTTTTCCCATTCACCCAGTCACTCAGTCACCTGTTTTCCCATTCACCAGTCACTCAGTCACCTGCCTTCCCTGTTAACTCAGTCACCTGCCTTCCAATTCACCCACTTATTACCCTGCCAACGATTGTTGAAGATTACTTAATACATAAATGTTATTAGTCATCTGGTTTCCTATTAAACGATTCGCTCTGTTTCATGGTCACCAAGCCACTCAGTCACATGGTCACAAAGTCACTCAGTCACCTGGTCACCAAGTCACTCAGTCGCCTGGTCACCAAGTCAGTCAGTCCCCTGGTCACTAAGTCACTTAGTCACCTGGTCACCAAGTCAGTCAGTCACCTGGTCACCAAGTCATTCAGTCACCTGGTCACCAAGTCACTCCGTCCCCTGGTCACCAAGTCACTTAGTCGCCTGGTCACCAAGTTATTCAGTCGCCTGGCGGTCCGGTTGCTTGGCTGCCTACATATCACTTATCACGGTTACCCATTTACCCCCCCCCCCCCAGTCGCTAAGTCTCCCGGTTCCCCAGTAGCCGAGTCATCAAGTCTGCCTCGTGGGGGGGTTGCCCTGCGCGTGCAGGTGCATCGAGTGCCCGTGCAGCGCTGCGGAGCCAACAGAAACTGCCAAGACTGCCTGGCGTTGGACGACCCGTACTGCGGCTGGTGTGTGCTGCAGGGCAGGTGGGTACCGCCCCTGCGCGTGGGCACCACAGGGGGTCGAACCGATACTCTCGTCACGCCTTGGGTGTGGTGGGGTGGTTGGTGGGGTGGTTGGTGGGGTGGGTGGGTGGTTGGTGGTGGGGTGGGTGGTGGGGTGGGTGGTTGGTGGGGTGGTTTGTGGGTGGTTGGTGGGGTGGGTGGTTGGTGGGGTGGGTGGTGGTGGGGTGGTTGGTGGGGGCGCTAATTTGATCAGACCGTTGCACGTACGGCCCGGGCTAGGTAACGCACGCAAGCTCACGTGTGGCGCTTTTAAAATACTTTTATTATGATTATTAATTGTTTCGTCTTCTTCACGCTTGGGTAACTTTTCATTTTGTAATTGTTTGCTTTGATCAATCAAAAAAAAATTGTCTGCTCGCGCTGCTGGTCATTTATTGTGTTGCCCTTGATCTATGCCCTTGTAATATATATTTTTTTTATTTCCCATGCGGCGGCGGCGACCCACGTTGTTGCTTTTCGCCCGCGATTTTTGTTTCGTTTAGATTTTTTGCGTTCGTCATTTTGGTGAGCCGGGTGGGTGACCCTTGCAAAAAAAACGATCGCTTGACTTCTCGCCCGGGCTACACAAAAAGCAACTTGAACCGTGTTTTCCGATGAGATTCGTTTCTTGATTTCGTGAAGCAAGGGTCCGTCCACGCCGCGTCGCCACCGTCGTCATTGTCGTCGTCGTCGTTGTCGCCGCCGTCGTCATTGTCGTCGTTGTCATCGTCATTGTCGTCGTTGTCGTCATTGTCGTCGTTGACGTCGTCATTGTTGTCGTCATTGTTGTCGTTGTTGTCGTTGTTGTCGTTCTCGTTGTCATTGTTGTCATTGTCGCCGCCGTCGTCGTTGTCATTGTTGTTGTCGCCGCCGGTGTCATTGTCGTCGTCATTGTTGTGGTTGTTGTCGCCGCCGTCGTCATTGTTGTCATTGTTGTGGTTGTTGTTGTCGTTGTCGCGTCCTCCGATGCCCGGAAGGTGCTCGCGCAAGACCGAGTGCGAGCGGGGAACCGAGCCCGGCTGCTGGGTGCAGACCTACGAGCGCACGAGCTGCCCCACCATCGCCTCCGCCAGTCCCCACAGCCTCAGCATCAAGCTGCCACCCATGGTGCGTGCTTCACTTGCGTGCTTCACTTGCGTGCTTCACTTGCGTGCTTCGCTTGCGTGCTTCACTTGCGTGCTTCGCTTGCGTGCTTCACTTGCGTGCTTCACTTGCATGCTTCACTTGTGTGCTTCACTTGCGTGCTTCACTTGCGTGCTTAACTTGCGTGCTTCACTTGCGTGCTTCGCTTGCGTGCTTCACTTGCGTGCTTCACTTGCGTGCTTCACTTGCGTGCTTCACTTGCGTGCTTCACTTGCGTGCTTCACTGCGTGCTTCACTTGTGTGTGCACCACGCAAGTCGTTTGCGCGTCGCGCTCCGGACCCGGCGAGCCGAGTTTCAAGTCGGTGATGGATGCCTTAAGCGTTGCCTATAAACGCCGTGATTCCACTCAAGCATCTTGCGCTGTGTTGTAAACGTGAACACTGGGGAGACAAAGGTGGCCGGGCGTGGTGCTGGCCGCCCACCCCCTTGTGTGCCGTGGTGGCCTCAGTAGGTGCTGCTCGCGAACAGCGCTTGTCCCTGCAGCAGTAGTGGAGGGAAAAATGGGTGAGTGGGTTGGAGAGTGGGTGAGTGGGTTGGAGAGTGGGTGAGTGGGTTGGAGAGTGGGTGAGTGGGTTGGAGAGTGGGTGAGTGGGTTGGAGAGTGGGTGAGTGGGCTGGAGAGTGGGTGAGTGGGTTGGAGAGTGGGTGAGTGGGTTGGAGAGTGGGTGAGTGGGTTGGAGAGTGGGTGAGTGGGTTGGAGAGTGGGTGAGTGGGTTGGAGAGTGGGTGAGTGGGTTGGAGAGTGGGTGAGTGGGTTGGAGAGTGGGTGAGTGGGTGAATGAGCGGTGAGTCATCGAGTGATTTCTGAGCGAGTTGATTCATTTCTCCCCTCCCGGCCGCTCTCCGTCGGCTCTCCCCTGCGACCCACCCCCTGCTGTCTCTCTCCCCCTCCCCCCCCACACCCCCCACACCCCCCCCCCCGTGCGCCACCGATCGCAGTCGGTGACGCTGCACGTGCCGGCGCTCCCGGCGCTGCACGAGGGGGAGCGGCTCACGTGCCACTTCGACGCGTTCGAGTCGCCCGCGACGGTGGCGGGCGCCGACGTGACGTGCGCCCAGTCCCTGCCGCTCGACGCCATCCCGGCCATCCCGCCCAACAGCGGTGGGCACCCCAACGGCGCGGGGGGCTTGACATCGGCGGGGCGACGACGACGATGACGATGACGACGGCGACGACGGCGACCATGAGCGTTGCGTTGCGATTCCTGCGAACCCGGCGAGCCGAGTTGGGGATCCCGCTCGCGGCCGATAAACGGTGGCCACCCACCCCCCGTCGTGTGCCGCTCCGGCCTTCATCGGCGCTGCTCGCTTAGCACAACTTGCGCCGGCAGTCTGTTGAAGCTACACAGGGGGGTTCTTTGTGTGCGTGTGTGCGCTTGTGCGTGTGTGCGCTTGTGTGTGCGTGTGTGCGCTTGTGCGTGTGTGCGCTTGTGCGTGTGTGCGCTTGTGCGTGTGTGCGCTTGTGCGTGTGTGCGCTTGTGCGTGCCCCTGCACTGTTCATCCGTGCGCCCTTCCGCCCCTGAAACAGACCACGTGGACGTGCGTGTGGATGTTCGCTACGGGGAGGTGAGCGTGGCGCTCGCTCTGCTGCCGTTCTACGACTGCGAGCGGGTGGTGCGGGACGACGCGACGAGCCCGTGAGTCGCCGCGGGCGCCCTGGGCCCTCAAGCACGCACACCTCAGATAACAGCAGGCGATTTCCTGGCGGCGGCGCCGACTCGTCACGCTGCGTGCGCGCGGTGGCGCATGGGCTCACGCGCGTGTACGTACGTACGTACGTGTGTGCGTGTGTGTGTGTACGTGTGTGTGTGTGTGTGCGTGTGTACGTGTGTGTGTCTTGTGTTTGCGTCTGTGCGTGCGCGCGCTCACCTACAGGTGCGCTCACTGCGTCACGAGGCACTGGACGTGCAGCTGGTGCCCTATGGAGTTCAAGTGCACGCACGAGCGCCAGTGTACTTCCGCCCACACGGTGAGAACCGGCAAAGCCAGACTCTACCCGGCACCGCGTTCACCCCGCGCCGTGTTCACCCTGCGCCGTGTTCACCCCGCGCCGCGTTCACCTGGCCCCGCGTTCACCCCGCGCCGTGTTCACCCGGCGCCGTGTTCACCTGGCCCCGCGTTCACCTGGCGCCGTGTTCACCCCGCGCCGTGTTCACCCCGTGTGGTGTTGACGCGCAGGTGACGAACAGCGACGATTGCCCTGCGATCGACAAGGTGCTGCACTCCCTGGTGCCCACGGGGGTTCCTCGCCACGTCCGCATGACCGCTCGCAACCTCCACCTGCTGGACCACGTGAAGGAGGTGCGGGCGGAGCCTCGCTCGCTCTCTCCTCGTTTGCGTCCGCGTCCGTCTCCCGTCTGTTCTGAGTGCGGTTGCAGTGGTGCGCCTAGCGAGTGCGGTGTCAAGCGAGCGTGGTGTTTAGCCAGTGCGGTCTTTTGCAGTGGTCCGTCGATGTCTGCACGTCGAACTTCTTTCCCGCCGTACGTAGCCGACCGTGCTAACCGGAGGTGCGGGGGAAGGACAACAAACTAAACACGAAGAGATTAGTTTTCATTCTGGATGATGATGATGATGATGATTTAAAAGCACATAGCTCCAGCAGCTTCCATGTAACGGAAGGGAAGAGCATTTCAAATGGCCGCAGAAGTGGATCTGAAAGCGCCAAGCGATGCGCTGACCGTCTTTGTTCGATGGCCGGCCAAAAGCCGCTGCTGCTGCTGCTGCGAGGATGACTGGAGTGCGGTGTCTAGCTAGTGCTGTGTCTAGGTAGTGCTGTGTCTAGTGCTGTGTCTAGCTAGTGCTGTGTCTGGCTAGTGCTGTGTCTAGTGTTGTGTCTAGCTAGTGCGGTGTCTAGCTAGTGCGGTGTCTAACTAGTGCTGTGTCTAGCTAGTGCTGTGTCTAGCTAGTGCTGTGTCTGGCTAGTGCTGTGTCTAGTGTTGTGTCTAGCTAGTGCGGTGTCTGGCTAGTGCTGTGTCTAGTGCGGTGTCTGGCTAGTGCTGTGTCTGGCTAGTGCTGTGTCTAGTGTTGTGTCTAGCTAGTGCTCTCTAGCTAGTGCTGTGTCTAGCTAGTGCTGTGTCTAGTGCTGTGTCTAGCTAGTGCTGTGTCTAGCTAGTGCTGTGTCTAGCTAGTGCTGTGTCTAGTGCTGTGTCTAGCTAGTGCTGTGTCTAGTGCTATGTCTAGCTAGTGCGGTGTCTAGTGCTGTGTCTGGCTAGTGCTGTGTCTAGTGCTGTCTGGCTAGTGCTGTGTCTGGCTAGTGCTGTGTCTAGCTAGTGCTGTGTCTAGCTAGTGCTGTGTCTAGTGCTATGTCTAGCTAGTGCGGTGTCTAGCTAGTGCTGTGTCTAGCTAGTGCTGTGTCTAGTGCTGTATCTAGTGCTGTGTCTAGCTAGTGCTGTGTCTAGCTAGTGCTGTGTCTAGCTAGTGCTGTGTCTAGTGCTGTGTCTAGCTAGTGTTGTGTCTGGCTAGTGCTGTGTCTAGTTAGTGCTGTCTAGTGCTGTGTCTGGCTAGTGCTGTGTCTGGATAGTGCTGTGTCTAGTGCTGTGTCTGGCTAGTGCTGTGTCTGGCTAGTGCTGTGTCTAGCTATGCTGTGTCTAGCTAGTGCTGTGTCTAGTGCTGTATCTAGTGCTGTGTCTAGCTAGTGCTGTGTCTAGCTAGTGCTGTGTCTATTGCTGTGTCTGGCTAGTGCTGTGTCTGGCTAGTGCTGTGTCTGGCTAGTGCTGTGTCTAGTGCTGTGTCTAGCTAGTGCTGTGTCTGGCTAGTGCTGTGTCTAGCTAGTGCTGTGTCTAGCTAGTGCTGTGTCTAGTGCTGTATCTAGTGCTGTGTCTAGCTAGTGCTGTGTCAAGCTAGTGCTGTGTCTGGCTAGTGCTGTGTCTAGTGCTGTGTCTAGCTAGTGCTGTGTCTAGCTAGTGCTGTGTCTAGCTAGTGCTGTGTCTAGTGCTGTGTCTAGCTAATGCTGTGTCTAGTGTTATGTCAAGCTAGTGCGGTGTCTAGTGCTGTGTCTGGCTAGTGCTGTGTCTAGTGCTGTGTCTGGCTAGTGCTGTGTCTGGCTAGTGCTGTGTCTAGCTAGTGCTGTGTCTAGCTAGTGCTGTGTCTAGTGCTGTGTCTAGCTAGTGCTGTGTCTAGCTAGTGCTGTGTCTAGTGCTGTATCTAGTGCTGTGTCTAGCTAGTGCTGTGTCTAGCTAGTGCTGTGTCTAGCTAGTGCTGTGTCTAGCTAGTGCTGTGTCTAGCTAGTGCTGTGTCTGACTAGTCTGGCGTTGAGCGAGCGTGTTGTCGACCGCGTGTGGCGTGGGCAGTGTCCGGCGACTGCACTAGTCCTGTAACCACGTGCGTGCTTGCGTAGGTCACCTGCACCGTGCTGGTGGAGGGTCGCACCGTCACCAGCCTCGGCAGCGTCGACGACACCGGCGCGGTGACGTGCGATGCCCAGACCGTGAGTGGCGCCGTCACCGCTGCCCGCGCACGCACGGGAAGCGCGCCAACGAACCAACGTGGCCGGCGTGCCGCTGGCCACGTTGGTTCACGTGACAACTTTATTAACGACTGGGGAAGGAGGGGTTGTTGTTGTCGTTGTTGTTGTTGTTGTCGTTGTTGTTGTCATCGTCGTTGTTGTTGTCGTTGTTGTTGTCGTTGTCGTTGTCGTTGTCGTTGTCGTTGTTGTTGTCGTTGTCGTTGTTGTTGTCGTTGTTGTTGTTGTCGTTTTTGTTGTCGTTGTCGTTGTTGTCTTTGTCGTTGTCGTTATCGTTGTTGTCGTCATTGTTGTCGTTGTTGTTGTTGTCGTCGTTGTTGTTGTCGTTTTTGTTGTCGTTGTTGTTGTTGTTGTCGTCGTTGTTGTCGTCGTTGTCGTCGTCGTTGTCGTCATTGTTGTTGTTGTCGTCGTTGTTGTTGTCGTTGTTGTTGTTGTCGTTGTTGTTGTCGTCGTTGTTGTTGTCGTCGTTGTTGTCGTTGTTGTTGTTGTTGTCGTTGTTGTTGTCATCGTCGTCGTTGTCGTCGTCGTCTTCGTTGTTGTTGTCGTTGTTGTTGTTGTTGTCGTCGTTGTTGTTGTCGTCGTTGTTGTTGTCGTCGTTGTTGTCGTTGTTGTTGTTGTTGTCGTTGTTGTCGTTGTTGTTGTTGTCGTTGTTGTTGTCATCGTCGTCGTTGTCGTCGTCGTCTTCGTTGTTGTTGTCGTTGTTGTTGTTGTCGTTGTTGTTGTTGTTGTCGTCGTTGTTGTTGTCGTCGTTGTTGTCGTTGTTGTTGTTGTCGTTGTTGTCGTTGTTGTTGTCGTGGTTGTTGTGGTTATTGTCGTTGTTGTTGTTGTCGTCGTCGTCGTTGTTGTTGTCGTCGTTGTTGTTGTTGTTGTCGTTGTTGTTGTTGTCGTTGTCGTTGTCGTTGTTGTCGTCGTTGTTGTTGTCGTTGTCGTTGTTGTTGTTGTTGTCGTTATTGTCGTTGTCGTTGTTGTTGTCGTTGTTGTTGTTGTTGTTGTTGTCGTTGTTGTTGTCGTTGTTGTTGTCATCGTCGTCGTTGTCGTCGTCGTCTTCGTTGTTGTTGTCGTCGTTGTTGTTGTCGTTGTTGTTGTTGTCGTCGTTGTTGTTGTCGTCGTTGTTGTTGTCGTTGTTGTCGTTGTTGTTGTCGTGGTTGTTGTGGTTGTTGTCGTTGTTGTTGTTGTCGTCGTCGTCGTCGTCGTTGTTGTTGTTGTTGTCGTCGTTGTCGTTATTGTTGTTGTCGTCCTTGTTGTCGTTGTTGTCGTTGTTGTTGTTGTTGTTGTCGTCGTCGTTGTTGTTGTCGTCGTTGTTGTTGTCGTCGTTGTTGTTGTCGTCGTTGTTGTTGTCTTCGTTGTTGTCGTCGTTGTTGTTGTTGTTGTCGTCGTTGTTGTCATCGTCGTCGTCGTCTTCGCCGTCGTTGTTGTCTTCGTCGTTGTTGTTGTTGTCGTCAATGTCGTTGTCGTCGTTATCGTCGTTATTTTTGTTGGCATTGTTGTTAATTTTTTTGTCATTGTTTTTATTAGTGTTGTTTTTTGTTCTAGATTGCTATTTGTTGTTATTTTTGTTGTTGCCATTGTTATTATTGTTTTTGTTCTGAAAATTTGCGAGCTTGCGGTCGCGATTGCCATCTCACGCTCCTGACGCCGGTGCCTGCCGCGTTTATTTGCCTCACCCACCCCTCCCCCCCCCCCCCCCCGCTCAGTACGAGTACCACACGGAGAGCATGGAGTACCAGGCGGAGGTGTGGCTGGAGCTCAGCAAAGGTCACCGCCTTGACAACCAGCAGCGGCACAACGGTACGGGGAGGGGGGTGGTGAGGGGGGGGGCAGGGGGGGCGGCAGCGCCCCACAATGCCGTGCGGTCTAAGTCGCCGTTGCAGCGAGGCGTCGGTTGCTCATCTCTGGTTTTACAGCGCAAAGCGGTGCGGTGGTCACAGCGCGCACCGCCCTACGAACCCGGCGACACGAGTTCGATTCCCGCTCGCGACCGGATGAAAGTTGCGAATATTTAAAGCGGTTCTGTCGGCCTCCTTTTCGGGCGACTCGTACTTAATGATGAAGCACCTGGCGCGGTGTGCATTTAACATCGGTAATCTTCTCATTGTTATTATTCTCATAGGCAGATGCAGAGCAGCGGCTACAATTTAACATTCGGGATTCGCGTGGTGAGGCCAGAGATCCGCGTCACGGGCAGCAGTGCGGGAGACGAAGGCGGCCCGGGATGTTGGCGTTGGCCACCCAACACCACACCCCCCTCTTCGTGCACCTTTTTGCCAGCCTGACGGCGCTCGCCCCAGCAGCCTGTTAAAGTTTTGAACGCCGCGTGGCGGGGCGCCGGGGGATCTTCGTGTCGTGTGCAGTGACGCTGTACGACTGCTCCAAGGTGCAGACGGACTGCAGCGAGTGCGCGGTCTCGGACGCGCGCTACGGCTGCTTGTGGTGCGCCCACTCGTGCCGCTACAACGAGAGCTGTGCCACCGTCTCCCCCGAGTGTCCGGGGCCCTTGGTGAAATCGGTGAGCGCCATTGTCGTCACCATCGCCACCATCGCCGCCATTGCCACCATCGCCGCCATTGCCACCATTGTCGCCGCCATCGCCGCCATCGCCGCCATCGCCGCCATCGCCGCCATCGCCGCCATCCCCGCTATCGCCACCATCGCCACCATCGCCACAATTGCCGCCATTGCCGCTACCACCATCGCCGCCACCATTACCACCATCACCACCATTGCCGCCGCCATCGCCGCCATCGCCACCATCGCGGTTGCGTTCGTCATCGTCGGCGCCATTATTATGGTTGCCGTCATCGCCGTCATCACCACCACCACCACCACCGTTGCCATCATCAAGTAGTGTATGTATATGTAGTGAGTCCAACCGAGTCGCAGACGTTGCCCTGGCGAGCAACACTATTTATTACATCAACTCAACACGCAACATAACGTCACCTACACTCGGGTGTTGAACGCCCATCTAACCAGGCTACGGCAGAACTAGACACGGTACCGCTATCCCGGTCCGGACCACAAGCTGGGTCCCGGACCGCGTGGCTAGAGGCTTCTTCAACCCGACGTGGATCTTCACTCGCCGACAATCAAGAACCCCGAGCCCCACACGGGGCCCCCGTTATATCGACCCGGGCTGGGGCTGGCTCCGCCCCTCGCCCCGCCCACCTTCTAGATCTCTCGAGCTCTTTCCCGAAGGCTCCCGAGAGCTCCTCTATACCACGTGACCGCCCAGCGGCCCCCGTCCACCGGTGGCCCCCCTCCAATATCATCCGGTCACGTGTCGGCAGGTCAACCGGCGTATCGTGCCCCAACGTAACCCTGGCTGGCTGACGCTCCCTCTCGCTCCCTCACTGGGAGCCCGCACCGCACGCTGTACGTGGTGCCTCTGCGCTAACCAGCGCTCGCCCAAGCCCCGCTAGGGCCGGTACTACGCCCGGTAACCGGGCTGCACATAATGACAACACATTATCCGCAGTGGCCTCGCAAGACCGGCACCACACAGTGAAATTCACAGTCACTACATATGTATGTTGAACTTCTTTCACACCATACGTAGCCAACATGCTAATCGGAGGTGTGGGAAATTATCATTGTTGTCATCACCACCACCACCGTCGCCATCATCATGATCATCGTCGTCATCACCATCATCGTCGTGGGAGCCATAGCCATCATTGTCGTTAGCACCATCACCATGGTTGTCCTCACCATCATGGTTATCATCATGGTCGTCATTGTCACCATTGTAATTAGCAACATCATCATGGTCGCCATCATCGTCATCGATGACGAAGTTGGCGACCATGATGATGGTGCTTAATTGATTAATCGTCCTCGCTCTCATCATCGTCATGGTCATCACCTACCGGACCCCATCAACCAATCGGCTCTTTGACTGGGCGAACGCTATTGGCCAATCCGTGGAGATTGCTTTCCCTGCACGCGATCCCATCGGCCAATCGGTGATGACCTCCGCTCTTGCACAGCCCTCATCGGCCAATAGGCGATTTCCTCCTCTTTTTTTTAAGGTCTTGGCATCAGCCAATCGGCAGTGGCCTCTCCTGAGCCTTGCAGTTCTTGCGAGCCAATGAGTGACGCGCGTCTCTCTCTCTCTCTCCCGTGGGATTGTGGGTAACAGATAGAGCCACACACGGGCGTGCTGGAGGGCGGCACCATCCTCACCGTGCACGGCTCCGACCTCGGACGCTCTTTTGAAGAGGTAACCGCAGCACGGGCGACGAGGCGGGAGTGATGAGGTGGATGTATTGAAGAGCGTGTGATGATGTCCGAATCAGAATATTTATTTATGCTGGTGAAATCCGATGAGCTATAAAGCTCTTTTTACAGATATCTAGTAGGGGCGGGTAAGACTGTTACAACAACGAATAACACGATCGGAGTGCAAAGTACAAGAAAGATAAACAAATCACCCAAACACAAACAAATTAAACACTAAACCATTCCCATCCTACCAGGCAAAGCCCACTGAGGTGTTAATTTATTCTTCAGAAGCGACCTGGCCACAAATGATAGCTCAACAAAGTTGGTCACCATTTGGACATTTATCGCAGCAGAATCATCTAAAATAATGATCTCAATGCACGTTTCTAAACACGGAGGGAAAAAATCGAATGACCCGGAGAAAAAAATCCACGTGACCACGGGGAGAGAGACGTGCAAACTCGTCAGGGTCGGGATCAAATCTACGACATCCTGAATACCAGGCGAGGGAGTTAACATCTCCTAGCCACCGCGCAAAGTCGTTACAAACAGGTGTCCGGGTCGGGATCGAACCCACGACCTCCTGCATACCAGGTGATGAGTCGGGAATGATGAGGTGGATGTGATGAGGTGGGAGTGACGCGGTGGTGGTAAGGCAATTGGATGAGGTGTGCGGCGTTGCTGTGCTGTGCAGGTGGTGTCAGTACTGGTTGGGAGCAAGCCGTGTGTGCCGCTGCAAGACCTCTACAGAGTCTCCAAGAGGTTCCACTCGCCCGCTTGCTCAGTCGCTCGCTCGCTCACTCACATCACTCGCTCACTGTCACTCACTCCTCACTCACTCAAATTGCTCGCTCACTCACTCAGTCTCTCGCTCGCTCAGTCAGCCACTCGCTCAATGACTCTTTGACTCGCTCAGTCACTCACTCGGTCACTCACTTGCACGCTCACTCGCTCAGTCACTCACCTGCTCGATCACTCACTGGGTCACTCGCTTAGTCACTCACTTGCTTGCTCACTCATTTGAGGCATTCGCTCGCTATTTCGAATGCTCACATACTGACATCAATACATGCCCTTCACGCACACAAAGATCTCCCATATAGCCTTAACATACTTTTTGGGGCAAGTGCTGTTAGCGAGCACCTACGAAGGCCGGCACTGCACACGAGGGGGTGGGTGGCCAGCACCACACGAACACCTACGCTCGCTCACTCACACAATCTCTCACTCGCAGACCTACTAACTTGAGATACTGCTGCTGGTGTTGCTGCTGCTGTTGCTTCTGGTGATGTTGCTCGTGCTCATGCTATATTGATGATGCTGTTGTTGCTGATGATACTGCTGCTTATGTTGCTGCTGATGTTGCTTCTGTTGAAATTGCTTCTGCTGATGCTGTTCCTGCTTATGACGCTGCTGCTGCTGCTGCTGTTGCTTCTGTTGATGTTGCTCCTGCTGATGCTATTGGTGATGCTGTTGCTGATGATACTGCTGCTGGTGTTGCTGCTGCTGCTGTTGCTTCTGTTGAAATTGCTCCTGCTGATGCTGTTCCTGCTCATGACGCTGCTGCTGATGCTGTTGCTGCTGATGTTGCTTATGTTGATGTTGCTCCTGCTGACGCTATTGATGATGCTGTTGCTGCTTATGACACTGCTGCTGCTGCTTCTAATGGCGATGCTGTTGCTGCTGCTGCCGCCGCTGCTGCCCACAGAATCGTGTGCACGACAGGCAGTGCGGACATCGTCGGCGATGTGGCGGTGGTGGTGGAGATCGCCAATCGAGCGCCGGCCTCGTTCGAGCACTTTACGTACCAGGCAAGGTCACGGCGGGGGCGGGCGGGGTCGGGGGTTAAAGGGTCGGGTCGGCGGTCTCGCGTCCTCCCGAGCGTTGGGGTTCACACGCGCGAGTGAGCGGTGGGGTATGCTGGTGCTGTAGGTGAGGCTGGCAGGCTGAGGGTGGTAGGTTATACTTACTGCTCTGCCCCGATGTTCTCGTCGTTTCTGTGCGCTCGGTCATTGGCCACCAGGCTCAGGCCGTAAACCCACCGCTCTTAAGAGCCCGGTTGGACCACTGACTGCCACGACCACCTGCATTCAAACCCAGACGTTGTTTGGTACAGTGTTAGCCGCTGCCCTCTGAAGTAGTTAAACGGTTACGGTCGACGAAGTTACTCGGGTCAGAGTTATGGTTAAGTTCAGTTGGATTTTGTGGTCGGTTGTGACGACGAACTGCCACACCGTGGGTCGTGTGGCCTCACACCGCCGTGACTACAAACTCCACACCGTGGGTCGTGTGGCCTCACACCGCTGTGACTACAAACTCCACACCGTGGGTCGTGTGGCCTCACACCGCCGTGACTACAAACTCCACACCGTGGGTCGTGTGGCCTCACACCGCCGTGACTACAAACTCCACACCGTGGGTCGTGTGGCCTCACACCGCTGTGACTACAAACTCCACACCGTGGGTCGTGTGGCCTCACACCGCTGGGACAGCGCGAGGCTACACGGGTCATTGGGTGGGTGGGTGACTGGATGGTTGGGTTGGGTCGGTTGGTGACTCGGCGGTTAGGTGGGTGGGTGAGGCAGCAGGTGGATTGGTGTGTGGGTGGGTAGGTGAGTGGGTGGCTTGGTGGGTGAGTGGGTGGGTGGGTGGGTGAGTGGGTGGGTGGGGGTGGGTAGGTGTATCTATAATTCGCCAACTCTCAGACTTTCGAGCTGAACCTCTCAGTTTCTCTCCACAGCCCGCGCGACGGTGAGATTCATTAGCGTTGTGACATCACGAGTTGTCTCCCTTCTCCCCCGGTAGAGTCCCTTCATCACGAAGCTGGAACCGAGTGAGGGACCGGTAGAGGGAGGAACCCGCATCACCATCTTCGGGAAGCACCTGCTGACGGGAAACCGGGAACTCATCGCCGCCTTCATCGGGGACAGCCCGTGCAGGTGAGCACCTGGGTTGGTGACGATGGTGACGATGGTGACGATGATGGTGATCGTGATGATGGTGGGGATTGTAATGACGATGACGGTGGCGGTGAGGATGTTGATGACGATGTTGACGTAGCTGCGATGGTGGTGGTGGTGGTCGCACCACCACAGCTGGCCGATATGCAAATGCCACACACACACACACAGCTGTGATCGCGATGCCGCCTGTGATCGCGATGCCGCCTGTGATCGGCGTCGCCCGTGACGACGGCGTCGGGTGGTGTCGGTGCCGCGCAGCGATCTGCGCATGGTAGGGGTGGAGGAGGACGCGACCCTCGAGTGTTCCACGCCCAAGGTGCAGGAGAAGGTCTCCGCCGCCGTCAGCCTGCGCTACGGCGGCACCAGCGTCTCCAACGCCAGCGCCAAGGTCTTCGAGTACAAAGAAAACCCAATCATCAACGACTTCAACCCAAAAAGCAGCTTCTATGGGTACCGCCCCCCCCTCCCCCGCTCACACCCCCCTCCACCCCCCCCCCCCCCGCACACACGATGCTGATGCTGACGACGACGACGATGATGACGATGAGCGTGTCATCGGCGCGGGGTTGCGATTGCTGTGGTCGCAGGGGTGGCCGCGTGATCACGGTGAGCGGCTCGAAGCTGAACACGGCGCTCAAGATGTCCATGGAGGTGGAGGTGCAGCTTCCACGCCGGCGGCGCTCCCTGCACCCCTCCACAGTGAGACACAGAGCCGCTCCCCCCCTCCCACTCTCCTCCCCTCCCTCCCTCCCTCCCTCCCTCCCTCCCTCCCTCTCTCCCTCCCTCTCTCCCTCGCTCCCTCCCTCCCTCCCTCTCCCTTCACTCCCCTCCCACTCCATCCCCCTCCCTCCCCTCCCTCCCACTCCCCTCCCTCCCCTCCCTCCCTCCACTCCCTCCCACTCCCCTCCCACTCCACTCCACTCCCCTCCATTCCCCTCCACTCCATCCCCCTCCCTCCCCTCCCTCCCACTCCCCTCCCTCCCTCCACTCCCTCCCTCCCTCCCTCCCCTCCCTCCACTCCTTCCCACTCCCCTCCCACTCCACTCCCCTCCATTCCCCTCCCTCCCTCCACACCCCTCCCACTCCCACACTCCTGCTGGTGATGGCTGGTGATGGCTGGTGATGGCTGGTGATGGGTGGTGATGGGTGGTGATGGCAGCAGTGGTTGTAGTTCTAGTGACGAGTCTTCGTGACTGGTGGTGATGATCATGGTAGTCGTGGTGCTTATGACGCCGATACCGACCGGCATGACGCGTGCGGTGATGCCGCTGCCGCCAACGCTGACGTCCCGTGGCCAGATCTCGAGTCCCTGCGAGTTCCGCTCGGCGGACGAGGCCCTGTGCCCCTCGCCCACCGTGCCGGACGGCTCGACGATGCTCCGCGCCTGGTTCCAGCTGGACGGTTTCCGCAGCGACGTCACGTCGCACCTGACGTACGAGGAGAACCCCCTGCTGTGCCGGCCTGGCACCGCGCCCTACGTCATCAACGGGCACAACATTCTCACCATCAAGGTTAGCGTGCCGCGTCGCCACGCCGCAGGTCGCGGAAACTCGCTCGCTCGCCCATCAACCGACGGCACTCACCCAGTCACTCACTCGCACCTTAGCCACTCACTGACCCGTTCACACCCACTCACCCATTCACTCACTCACACCCACACACCCATTCACTCACTCACACCCACTCACCCATTCACTCACTCACACCCACTCACCCATTCACTCACTCACACCCACTCACCCATTCACTCACTCACACCCACTCACCCATTCACTCACTCACACCCACTCACCCATTCACTCACTCACACCAACTCACCCATTCACTCACTCACACCCACTCACTCACACCCACTCACCCATTCACTCACTCACACCCACTCACCCATTCACTCACTCACACCAACTCACCCATTCACTCACTCACACCCACTCACCCATTCACTCACTCACACCCACTAACCCATTCACTCACGCACACCCACTCACCCAGTCACTCACTCACACCCACTCACCCATTCACTCACTCACACCCACTCACCCATTCACTCACTCACACCCACTCACCCATTCACTCACTCACACCCACTCACCCATTCACTCACTCACACCAACTCACCCATTCACTCACACCCACTCACCCACACCCACTCACCCATTCACTCACTCACACCCACTCACCCATTCACTCACTCACTCACACCCACTCACCCATTCACTCACTTACACCCACTCACCCATTCACTCACTCACACCCACTCACCCATTCACTCACTCATACCCACTCACCCATTTACTCACTCACACCCACTCACCCATTCACTCACTCACTCACACCCACTCACCCATTCACTCACGCACACCCACTCACCCATTCACTCACGCACACCCACTCAACCATTCACTCACTCACACCCACTCGCCCATTCACTCACTCACACCAACTCACCCATTCACTCACTCACACCCACTCACCCACACCCACTCACCCATTCACTCACTCACACCCACTCACCCATTCACTCACTCACTCACACCCACTCACCCATTCACTCACTCACACCCACTCACCCATTTACTCACTCACACCCACTCACCCATTCACTCACTCACTCACACCCACTCACCCATTCACTCACTCACACCCACTCACCCATTCACTCACGCACACCCACTCGCCCATTCACTCACGCACACCCACTCAACCATTCACTCACTCACACCCACTCACCCATTCACTCACTCACACCCACTCACCCATTCACTCACTCACACCCACTCACCCATTCACTCACTCACACCCACTCACCCATTCACTCACTCACACCCACTCACCCATTCCCTCATTCACTCACACCCACTCACCCATTCCCTCACTCACTCACACCCACTCACCCATTCACTCACTCACACCCACTCACCCATTCCCTCACTCACTCACACCCACTCACCCATTCCCTCACTCACTCACACCTACTCACCCATTCACTCACTCACACCCACTCACCCATTCACTAACTCACACCAACTCACCCATTCACTCACTCACATCCACTCACCCACACCCACTCACCCATTCACTTACTCACACCCACTCGCCCATTCACTCACTCACACCCACTCACCCATTCACTCACTCACACCAACTCACCCATTCACTCACTCACACCCACTCACCCACACCCACTCACCCATTCATTCACTCACACCCACTCACCCATTCACTCACACCCACTCACCCATTCACTCGCTCACACCCACTCACCCATTCACTCGCTCACACCCACTCACCCATTCACTCACTCACACCCACTCACCCATTCACTCGCTCACACCCACTCACCCATTCACTCACTCACACTCACTCACCCATTCACTCGCTCACACCCACTCACCCATTCACTCACTCACACCCACTCACCCATTCACTCACTCACACCCACTCACCCATTCACTCACTCACACCAACTCACCCATTCACTCACTCACACCCACTCACCCACTCACCCATTCACTCACTCACACCCACTCACCCATTCACTCACTCACTCACACCCACTCACCCATTCACTCACTTACACCCACTCACCCATTCACTCACTCACACCCACTCACCCATTCCCTCACTCACTCACACCCACTCACCCATTCACTCACTCACACCCACTCACCCATTCCCTCACTCACTCACACCCACTCACCCATTCCCTCACTCACTCACACCTACTCACCCATTCACTCACTCACACCCACTCACCCATTCACTCACTCACACCAACTCACCCATTCACTCACTCACTCACATCCACTCACCCACACCCACTCACCCATTCACTCACTCACACCCACTCGCCCATTCACTCACTCACACCCACTCACCCATTCACTCACTCACACCAACTCACCCATTCACTCACTCACACCCACTCACCCACACCCACTCACCCAATCACTCACTCACACCCACTCACCCATTCACTCACTCACACCAACTCACTCATTCACTCACTCACACCCACTCACCCATTCACTCACTCACACCCACTCACTCACTCACACCCACTCACCCATTCACTCACTCACACCCACTCACCCATTCCCTCACTCACTCACACCCACTCACCCATTCACTCACTCACACCCACTCACCCATTCCCTCACTCACTCACACCCACTCACCCATTCCCTCACTCACTCACACCTACTCACCCATTCACTCACTCACACCCACTCACCCATTCACTCACTCACACCAACTCACCCATTCACTCACTCACTCACATCCACTCACCCACACCCACTCACCCATTCACTCACTCACCCATTCACTCACTCACACCCACTCGCCCATTCACTCACTCACACCCACTCACCCATTCACTCACTCACACCAACTCACCCATTCACTCACTCACACCCACTCACCCACACCCACTCACCCAATCACTCACTCACACCCACTCACCCATTCACTCACTCACACCCACTCACCCATTCACTCGCTCACACCCACTCACCCATTCACTCGCTCACACCCACTCACCCATTCACTCACTCACACCCACTCACCCATTCACTCGCTCACACCCACTCACCCATTCACTCACTCACACTCACTCACCCATTCACTCGCTCACACCCACTCACCCATTCACTCACTCACACCCACTCACCCACACCGAGTCCGTGGGAGCCGGAGTGCGCCGTGTCCTCTCGGAGAGCTGCCCAGATGGAGAGGCTCTGGGACAGGCTCCACGACGCGCATGTGGTGCTACTGATGCACGTGTTCTCAGTGGGGGGCGGGAGAGTGGTAGTGCCAGCGGGTCATGTAAGCCTGCATGCCCAGCCAACGAGTGCCCACGTAGGGGTGGTAGCACGGTGGTTAATGCTGTGCTGCGCCATGAACCCGGCGAACCCGAGTTCGATTCTCGCTCGCGACCAACACAAGCGAGGATTATCTGAACCAGTCCTGGGCCTCCCCACCACCTCGTATGCCCAAGCCGGCCTTCATAGGTGCTACTCCTTAACAGCACTTGCCCCAAAAAATCTGTTAAGGCTATATGGCGGGATCTTTATCTTTGTGTGTGAAGGGCATGTATGGATGTCCGTGTGTGAGCATCCGAATGAGCAAGCAGACGTGCGAGTGAGTGCGCGAGTGAGTGAGCGTATGACTAAGCGAGCGATCCAGTGAGCGACTGAGTGAGGGTCTGAACGAGCAAGAGATTGATTGAGCGAGTGAGTGACTGAGCGTGCGAGCTCGTTATTGAGTGAGCGAGTGAGTGAGAGACTGAACGAGTGAGTGAGTGATTCAGTGAGTGAAGTGAGCGAGCGACTGACTATTAAGGCTACCTGAGGGGGGGGTGGTGATCTTTTGCCTTCGTTCGTCCTCAGGGCAAGAACCTGAACAAGGCCATGGATAAGGAGGAGGTGGAGGTGACCATCGGTGAGGAGCAGTGCAAGGTGGAGATGATGGACAGCTCCTCCCTCTACTGCAAGCCCCCGCTCACCCAGCCCAGCGCCAGGGCCGGAGGCGACGAGGCTGGCTATGGGCAGGAGGAGGTCAGTAGTCACGTGCAACGCGGACCTCTGTAGGCACGTGGATCTCTGTGGGCACGTGCCCTTGGAAGAAGTTGTCACCCCCTGTGAGTGGCATGCTGAAGTGCCATCTGTTCCAGAGTCTTGAGACTAAGAAAAAGCGCCGGGCAGAGATGATCTCCCAAGCGAAATGCTGAGGGAGGGTGGCGTTTGTGTGCAGACTCCCCTATATGACATCATAAATCTGGACCACTGGATGGGTTCCGCAGGATTCGTAGGATGCCCTGGTGGGTCCCCTCTTTAAGAAGGGGGACCGCACAGACTGTAACAACTACAGAGGCATCTCTCTCCTCAGTGTGCCGGGCAAGGATTATTGAACATCGCCTTGCCAGGTATGCTGAGGAGAGGCTTGCGGAGCCCCAATGCGGTTTCAGGTCAGGACAGTCCTGCACAGATGCCATATTTTCTGTCCTTCAGCTACAGCAGAGGTGCAGGAAATTCCAACAGGACCTACATCTCTGCTTTATTGACCTTGTCAAGGCCTATGATACCATCAATCGACCTGGGCTTTGGGTTCTTTTTCGTGCTTAGCTGTGCTGGAGGAATCTCCAGTTGGTACAGATTCAATGGGAGGCTGATCGATGCCCAGGTGTGGTGAAGGGATGCCTCCGTATTGGTCAACCATGTTATCTATGCCGATGACCTGGTGATTGCTGCTCACTCAGAGGAAGAGTTGGAGGCACTGCTGAGCCTGGAATGTGCCAAAACTAAGCACCTGTCTGGATATTTTGTACCATCAGACACTCCAAACCACCTCAGCTCCCCATTGGTGATGAGACAGTTGTGGAGAGAGTGGAGAGTTTTCCATACCTGGGCAGTGTGCTCATGACCAGCTCCAGTTTCACAGCAGAGGTCTCATGTCGAATCAGTCGAGTGGCATCTTTTAATCGGCTGTGTAATGCTGTGTGTAAGCTACCTGGTCGGTCGCTCAACATTAAACTTTGGGTCTTCTTGGCCACGGCCATGCCCTCCCTTCATTATACTTGCGAAACGTGGACCCCGCTAATGGAACATCTTTGCCGGTTAGAAACATTTAGGCCTGTCCACGATCCATCCTGGGTTTAACCAGGCTGGATTGTGTGAGAAGCTCACAAATCCTTGAAAGATCTGGGCAAAGTCCCATCGGTGAGCTCTTCCTGCAGGCAAGGCAGCGTTGGCTGGATCATGTAGCCCGCATGCCCAGCCACCGAATACCTAAACAGCTTTTTATTTACGCGATCTAACCCAACAAAACCTGTATTATAGATGATGTTGTGTTTCTGTCTGTGCGTTTCACTCTCTGTGTGCGTGTCTCTCTGTCCGTGTGTAGATTATCGACCGATCTCTGAACTGCACGTTGGCCACTTCCTCCACCTCCCGGCGGCGCCAGCGTCGAGACGGTGACGGCGACCTCCCCCAGCTCATAGTGCGTGTGCATATACGTGCATGTGTGCCGTGTGTAAATATGTCTGTGAACGTGTGCGTGTACACATGCACATGGCGTATTCACGTGTGTGTGTGTGTGCTAGCCTTCGACACTTCAGGTGGCCTCAAAGTGCACCTGGCCTGGCACAGGCGCCGTGGTGACGTCACCGTTGCTTAGTGGCGAATAACGGGTATATATGTGTGTGTGCGCGTGTGTGTAGTGGGGAGCGGTCGTGTAGCGGTTAGCGCGCTGCGCTATGAACCTGGCGACCCGGGTTCGATTCCCGCTCACGGCCAACACCAGTGACGATTATCTGAACCGGTCCTGGGCCTCCCCTAGGTCGACTCAGCCTCAAATGAGTACCTGGTGCGGTGGATAAAAACATTGCCACTGGGGAGACAAAGGCGGTCGGGCGTGGTGCTGGCCACCCACCCCCTCGTGTACCGTTCTGGCCTTCATAGGTGCTACTCGCTATCAGCACTTGCCCCTTCAGTCTGTTAAGGCTATACGGGAGATCTTTGTCTTTGTGTGTAGGTGCACATGGGCGTTCTGCGCTTCCCGCTGGGCCGCGTGCGCTACTCGACGGGCGACGGTCCGCTCTCCAAGTGGGCCATCGCCGGCATTGCCGTGGGCCTCCTCATCCTGCTGCTCGCCATCACCGCCCTCATCCTCCTCCTCCGGTCACTGCTCACATACATACACTCCCGCCACCTCCTCTTCTGCCTCTTCTCCTACCTCGTCTTCTCCTCCTGTCCCCCTCCTCCTCTTCCGCCTCCTCCTCTCCCGCCTCCTACTCCGTATCGTAGAGTCACGTCGTGGTAATTGCATTGTGGTTGACGTTGTAGTGGGTTCACTTGAGAGACACGTTTATTCTACGGCCACAACGGGGTAGCTCGACAAACGGTTCAGGTCAGTGGGCACACTGCCTCACCCACGATGCCGAGCACGAAGACTGAAGAGAAGACGTAGCACGTCAGGTTTCATTCCAGCAGACAGCCCCAATGCAGCCCCAGGACCTCCCTTTTATGCCCCTCAGCGTGGCCCCGCTCCGCCCTGGGCCACGCCCCCATCCAGAGCCTACTAGAAGGTTCTGGATCGCCTTCCACGTGTCCCCGTGCCTGGCTCCGCCCTCGGACACGCCCCCATCCAGAGCCTACTAGAAGGTTCTGGATCGCCTTCCACGTGTCCCCGTGCCTGGCTCCGCCCTGGGCCACGCCCCCTTATGGAACTCGCTAGAAGGTTCTGGGCTCGACAACACGTGCCCCCTCTGTCACTTTTGGCCTACATCCCATCACGTGTCCCTGTCAGCCAATCGGGCTACTACATCCGTAATTGCCCCCTACTCTGCCAGCCTCTTCCATGATATCATGTACTCTGCTGGCAGAGAGGGCTACCATACCCACTATTCCGCTCTGTCGGTAGATGGCGTAGGCGCCGTAGTGACCCATTATGTCACTACAACATCGTTGATGCGAGTGCTGTTGACGTGATTAACGTTGTTGTCGTCGTTGTGGTGGTCGTGCAGACACAACGCCAACCGTGAAAAGGAGAAGATCCTCATGGAGATGACCAGAATGGAGGACAAAGTGCGGGACATGGTGCGGCGTGAGTTCGCAGGTGACTCCCCCTTCCCTCCCCCCTTCCCTCCCCCTTCCCTCCCCCTTCCCTCCCCCCTTCCCTCCCCCTTTCCTCCCTCCTTCCCTTCCCTCACCCTACCCTCCTCCTTCCCTCCCCCCTTCCCTCCCCCTTCCCTCCCCCCTTCCCTCCCCCTTCCCTCCCCCCCTTCCCTCCCCCTTCCCTCCCCCCTTCCCTCCCCCTTCTCTCCCCCTTCCCTCCCCCTTCTCTCCCCCTTCCCTCCCCCTTCCCTCCACCCTTCCCTCACCCTTCCCTCCCCCTTCCCTCCCCCTTCCCTCCCCCCTTCCCTCCCCCTTCCCTCCCCCCTTCCCTCCCCCTTCCCTCCCCCTTCCCTCCCCCTTCTCTCCCCCTTCCCTCCCCCCTTCCCTCCCCCGTTGCCCCACTATCTCCCCCCCAGCCGCCCCCCCCCCACCAACTCTTGGCGGCGGTACATCGGTGGCGGTGTGCTGGGGTTGGACAGGGATAGCCGGTGGACATGACGGTGCCGATGACCGCGATGCAGACTGTTATGGTGCTGCTTACCATAACACTGCTAGACCACACTATGAACACATTTGTTTTTATGTTACCAGGCAAGGCCCCACTGAGCTGTGTAGCTCTTATTTTTGTTTGTTCAGAAGCTGCCTGGCCACCATCACAAATGATGGCTCAACGAAGTGGCTTGTCATGACGTGGCAATGTGTATCGGCCAAATACTCCCAAAACGTGTGATGCTGATTCTAAATGTGTAAGGGAAAAAACAGGAGGACATGGAGAAAAATCCACGCGACCACAGGTAGAGAGAGAGAGAGCCTCTAAACGTACAGCAGGCGTCAAGGGTCGCGATCGTTGCCACAATGTTGTATGTACGTACGTTGAACTTCTTTCACACCGTATGTAGTCAACCCCTGATAATTGATGCTGGTCGCTGTAATGCTCGGTTACCGCGACGCGCCCCCCGGTCGCCATGATGCCCGGTCGCCATGACGCCCGGTCTCCACGCCCCCCTGGTCGCCACGCCCCCCGGTCGCCATGACGCCCGGTCACCACGCCCCCCGGTCGCCATGACGCCCGGTCGCCACGCCCCCCAATCGCCATGACGCCCGGTCGCCACGCCCCCCCGGTCGCCATGACGCCCGGTCGCCACGCCCCCGGGTCGCCATGACGCCCGGTCGCCACGTCCCCCGGTCGCCATGACGCCCGGTCGCCACGCCCCCCGGTCGCCATGACGCCCGGTCGCCACGCCCCCCGGTCGCCATGACGCCCGGTCGCCACGCCCCCCGGTCGCCATGACGCCCGGTCGCCACGCCCCCCGGTCGCCATGACGCCCGGTCGCCATGCCCCCCAGGTCGCCATGACGCCCGGTCACCACGTCCCCCAGTCGCCATGACGCCCGGTCGCCACGCCCCCGGGTCGGCATGACGCCCGGTCGCCACGTCCCCCGGTCGCCATGACGCCCGTTCGCCACGCCCCCCGGTCGCCATGACGCCCGGTCGCCACGCCCCCCGGTCGCCATGACGCCCGGTCGCCACGCCCCCCGGTCGCCATGACGCCCGGTCGCCACGCCCCCCGGTCGCCATGACGCCCGGGTCGCCATGCCCCCCAGGTCGCCATGACGCCCGGTCACCACGTCCCCCAGTCGCCATGACGCCCGGTCGCCACGCCCCCCGGTCGCCATCACGCCCGGTCGCCACGCCCCCCGGTCGCCATGACGCCCGGTCGCCACGCCCCCCGGGTCGCCATGACGCCCGGTCGCCACGCCCCCCGGTCGCCATGACGCCCGGTCGCCACGCCCCCCGGTCGCCATGACGCCCGGTCGCCACGACGCCCGGTCGCCACGACGCCCGGTCGCCACGACGCCCGGTCGCCACGACGCCCGGTCGCCACGACGCCCGGTCGCCATGACGCCCGGTCGCCACGCCCCCCGGTCGCCATGACGCCCGGTCGCCACGCCCCCCGGTCGCCATGACGCCCGGTCGCCATGCCACCCGGTCACTATGACGCCCGGTCGCCGCGACGACGGGCGCTATGACGACGGGCGCTGTGACGCCCCCCCCCCTCCCCCCCCCTCCCGGTCGTTTCCCTGACGGCCGGTCTCCTCCCCGCGGCGACTCCGCCAGACCTCGTGACGGACATGTCGGACCTCGACGTGCTGGTGGACGAGACGGGCATCCCCTTCCTGGAGTACCACCGCTACGTGGAGCGCATCTTCTTCCCGGGGCAGCAGCAGCTGCTGTGCGAGGGGGCGCCTCCCGTGTCGCCCTCGTGGGACGCGGCGCTCACGGGCTTCCACAACCTCCTCAACAGCAAGCTCTTCCTCATCAAGGTAATTCGGCGGTGGCAGCCTCGGTGAGCCCGGCGCGCCTGGTGCGGGGCGGGAGGGGAAGGTCGCGGGGTCGCAGGGTCGCGGGGTCGCGGGGTCGCGGGGTCACGCGCCAAACTGGGCCGGAGTTGAGTCCGACCGTCTCGCAGGCCAGGGTGTGCGGTCGATAGCTCAACGGGTGAGGTGCTGGGTACCCGCGACGAGGTTACGAGAGGTGTCTGTGTCTACGCACTGTACGTGGCCAGAGAGAGACGCACAGACCCACAGACGGAGACACACTCACCGAGTGAGACGCACGGACAGAGAGACACGCTCACCAAGTGAGACGCACGGACAGAGAGACATGCACAGAGTGAGACGCACGGACAGAGAGACACGCTCACAGAGTGAGACGCATGGACAGAGAGACACGCTCACCGAGTGAGACGCACGGACAGAGAGACACGCACAGAGTGAGACGCACGGACAGAGAGACACGCTGAGAGTGAGACGCACGGACAGAGAGACACGCTCACAGAGTGAGACGCACGGACAGAGAGACACGCACAGAGTGAGACTCACGGACAGAGAGACACGCACACAGAGTGAGATGCACGGACAGAGAGACACGCTCACAGAGTGAGACGCAATCTAAATCGAGGGGAGTGCGTGTGTACGTATCTGTGCGGTGGTGTAGTGGTCAGCGCTATGCTGCGCTACGAACCCGGTGACCCGAGTTCAATTCCCGCTCTCGGCCACCAACACCAGTGACGATTATCTTAACCGGTCATGGGCCTCCCCTCGGTCGACTGGGCCTCAATATGAATACCGAGTGCGGAGTGAAAACATCGCCACTGGGGGAGACAAAGGTGGCCGGGCGTGGTGTTGGCCACCCACCCCCTCGTGTGCCATGCCGGCCTTTATAGGTGCTCGCTAACAGCACTTGCTCCTACAGCCTGTTAAGGCTACACGGGGATCTTTGTGTGTATCTGAGTGTGTATCTCTGCGTATATATGTATATCTGTGTGTATCTCTGTGTGCCTGTTTACCTGTCTATCTGTGAGTATCTGTGTGTCTGCCTACCTCTCTACCTGTGTGTATCTCTGTGTGTCTGCCTTCCTGTGTATCTGTGAGTATCTCTATGTCTGTCTACTTGTGTATCTGCGAGTATCTCTGTGGCTGTCTACCTCTCTATCTGTGAGTATCTCTGTGTGTCTGCCTACCTGTGTGTCTGTATCTCTGTGTGCCTGTCTACCTGTGTATCTGTGAGTATCTCTGTGTCTGCCTACCTCTCTGTGTATCTCTGTGTCTGCCTACCCCTCTGTGTGCTTTTCTGTGTCTATCTGTGAGTATCTCTGTGTCTGCCTACCTGTGTTTCTGTGAGTATCTCTGTGTGTCTGCCTACCTGTGTATATCTCTGTGTGTCTATCTGTGTGTATCTCTGTGTCTGCCTACCTGTGTATCTGTATCTCTGTGTGTCTGCCTACCTGTGTATCTGTGTGTATCTCTGTGTCTACCTACCTGTGTATCTGTGTGTATCTCTGTGTGTCTATCTGTGTGTATCTCTGTGTCTGCCTATCTCTGTATCTGTGTGTATCTCTGTGTGTCTGCCTACCTTTGTATCTGTGAGTATCTCTGTGTGTATCTCTGTGTGTCTGCCTACCTGTGTATCTGTGTGCATCTCTGTGTGTCTATCTGTGTGTATCTCTGTGTCTGCCTACCTGTGTATCTGTGAGTATCTCTGTGTGTCTGCCTACCTGTGTATCTGTATCTCTGTGTGTCTACCTACCTGTGTATCTGTGTGCATCTCTGTGTGTCTATCTGTGTGTATCTCTGTGTGTCTGCCTACCTGTGTATCTGTATCTCTGTGTGTCTACCTATCTGTGTATCTGTGTGCATCTCTGTGTGTCTATCTGTGTGTATCTCTGTGTCTGCCTACCTGTGTATCTGTGAGTTCCTCTCCGCCTCTCTCACCCGGCCCCCCGCCCCGCCCCTCCGTTGCAGTTCATCCAGACGCTGGAGATGCAGCATGGCGGCGTGAGCCAGGCCCACTGTGGGCGTATCGCGTCGCTCGTCACCGTGGTGCTGCACGACAAGCTGGAATACTACACCGACATTCTCAAGACCCAGCTCATCGCCATCATCGACCACGACGTCGAGACAAAGCCCAAGCTGCTCTTCCGCCGGTGACCGACGCCGCAGCCATCGCAGTGGGAATTTTGCTTTAGGCTGCAGGTGCCGTCGCTTCCTTCCCGCCAGATTCTCAGCCGTTGCAAAGTTTGACGGGCACGGTAATCTTTCCTTAGACTGGTGGAAGAAATCCGATGAGCGGTGAAGCTCTTTTAAAAACAGATGCCCAGCAAGGGACCACGGGCCCAGAAATGTAAACAACGATCGGAGTACGGGGCATAGGGGAGGAAATCAAAATATAAATTCGTAAAACGCAGATGGAGTTCACGAGTTCCTCGCCGCGACGATGCTGACGACCGCACCGGGTGCCCATTTGAGTGCCAGCGAGGATTATCTGAACCGGTCTTGGGCCTCCCCTAGGTCGACTCGGCCTCAAATGAGGAACCTGGTGCGGTGTGTACGAAAAGACGGCCTAGGCGTGGTGTTGGCCACCCACCCCCTCGTGCGCCGTTGCCGGCCTTGTGTAGGTGCTACTCGCTAACAGCACTTGCCCCCGACACTCTGTTGAGGCGACACGGGGGGGGGGGGGGGGGGGGGGGTGGGGGTTCGTTGTCTTCGGTGTTGGGGGTGGTGCGTGACCGGAGGGGGACTGTTCACGCTCTTGCAGGACGACGACGGTGGCAGAGAAGATGCTGACGAACTGGATGTCGATCTGCCTCTACACGCACCTGCGGGTGAGCGTTCTCGTGTGCACGGCGTTACCACTGCTGCAGGCTGGCACGGCGTGCGGCAGCGTGGCACATCGTTAACACAGTGGCAGGGTGGCACGGCTTTAACACAGCTGCAGGGTGGCACATCGTTACCACAGCTGCAGGGTGGCACATCGTTACCACAGCTGCAGGGTGGCACATCGTTACCACAGCGGCAGGGTGGCACATCGTTACTTCAGCGGCAGGGTGGCACGGCGTTACCACTGCTGCAGGGTGGCACGGCGTGCTGCAGGGTGGCACGGCTTTAACACAGCGGCAGGGTGGCACATCGTTACCACAGTGGCAAGGTGGCACGGCGGTAGCGCTGTAGAACAGAGGGCCTGGGTTCGATTGACTCGGGCCACTTGTCTGTGCGGGGTTTGTACGCTCTCCCTCTGTTCTACAGAGAGATTGAGTGAACGTGTTGAGTCGGGCGTGGTGCTGGCCACCCACTCCCATGTGCGCCGTGCCGGCCTTCATCGGTGCTACTCGCTAACAGCGCTTGCCCCAGCAGTCTGTTAAGGCTATGCGTGGGACCTTTGTCTTTGTGCAATTGAGTGAGTGTGTGTGAGCGAGTGAAGTTTGCTGGTTCCCCCTCTGTTCTGCCGAGTTGTGAGTGAGAGAGTGTGTTTGTGTGAGTGAAGTTTACATGTTCTGCGAGGGTTTCCTGCCGAGTTCTCCAGTTTCCTCCCAAAGCTAAACTCGCGCACACACAATGTAACTGGCATTGGCCCAACTGCAATAAGCCTGGCAGGACCCTCCTGAAAAAGAGACTTGAGTCTCAGTGAGGCTTTCCTGGGTAAATTCGCAAACTAGATAATAAAACTACATATTATTATTATTGGGCACTACCATCTTTCCCTACATTGAATCACCTGACTCAACCCCCCCCGTGTCCCTGTAACCTCGCATCCTCTGTACGTTCTCTCCTATCACCCCGGGTGTCCATGTCCCCCACATGCCTGTGTCTCACCTTGTCCCCCTGTCTCTCTGTGTGCCCCCCGTTTGTCTCCGTGGCTCTCCATGTCCTCGTGACCCCTCCCTGTGCCTCCCCTGTGTCTCCGCGTGTCGGCGTGTCCCCCGCTCCTCCCCGTGTGTGTCCCCTTGTCCCCGGGTGCCCCTGTGTCTCTCCGTGTCTCTCCGTGTCCCCGTGCGTCCCCGCTCTTGCCCGTGTGTCCCTGCAGGAGACGGGAGGCAAGCCGCTCTACATGCTGTTCAAGGCCATCAAGTACCACGTGGACAAGGGCCCCGTGGATGCGCTCATGCACAAGGCCAAGTTCACGCTGGACGAGAACTCGCTGCTCAAGAACAACATCGAGCACAAGGAGCTGGTGCGTGTGTGTGTATGTGTGTGGGGTGCTCGTTAACAGCACTCGCCCCAACAGTCTGTTACAGGCTATACGGGTAATCTTTGTCTTTGTGTGTCTGCGTGTGTGTGGGGTGCTCGCTAAACTATCGCTCATTGGGGAGCGGTAGTGTAACGGTTAGCGCTACGCTGCGCTACGAACCTGGCGACACGGGTTCAATTCCCGCTCCCGGCCAACACCATCAGTGACGATTTTCTGAACCGGTCCCGGGCCTCCCCTAGGTCGACTCGGCCTCAAATGAGTACCTGGTGTGGTGTGTAGACAAAGGCGGCCGGGCGTGGTGTTGGCCACCCACCCCCTCGTGTGTCGTGCCGGCCTTCATAGGTGCTCGCTAACAGCACTTGCCCCTACAGGCTATACGAGGAATCTTTGTCTTTGTTTTCGTGTGTGCGTTTGTGCGTGCGAGTGTGCGAGTGTGTGTGCGCGCTCCTGGGGAGTGGCAGTGTAGCGGTTAGCGCTACGAACCCGGCGACCCGAGTTGGATTCCCCGCTCACGGCCACCAACACCGGTGACGATTATCTGAACCGATTGCGGGCCTACCCTAGATCGACTCGGCCTCAAATGAGTACCTGGTGTGGTGTGTAGTAAACATCGCCACTGGTGAGACAAAGGCGGCCGGGCGTGGTGTTGGCATGCCGACCTTCACAGGTGCCGCTTCGCTCACTGCACTTGCCCCAACAGTCTATTAAGACTATACGCTGGGGGGGATCTTTATCTTGTGTCGCTGTGCGTGCCGAATCAGACCCTGAAGGTGAACCTGGAGGAGATGTTTGCGGCCAACGGCGCGGTAGGGGAGGCGCCGGTGGCCACGGAGGCCGAGGTTCGAGTCCTCGACTGCGACACAGTCACCCAGGTGAAGGAGAAGATCCTGGACCATGTGTACCGCAGCGTGGGACACTCACAGCGGCCAAGCGCGAGCGGCCTGGAGATCGGTAACCACCGCACACACAACCGCACAACCACGCGCACAACCACGCACGCACGCACAACCACGCACCATGCACGCACACAACCACGCACACAACCACATACAGCCGATCACACAACCACGCAAGCACACAACCACGCACCATGCACGCACACAACCACGCACACAACCACGCACACACACGCAAAAACACAACCGTACACAGAGCCGTGCACACAGCCGCACATCCAACCGCACGCAACAACCGCCCGCAGCCACCTGCGCAACTGTGCACACAAACCACACAACCGCACGCAGGCACCCCCAGTCCGGACCCCACTGGTAAACTTCACCGACCGCACACACTCGCAAGGCTGAACGCAGCAATTCCCAACGTACCCACACGAAACCGAACCAAACGAAACGAAGCTCAACCGCACCACCGTCCACCTTGTCCACCCCCGACCTACCGGGACCGCCAACCCCCCCCCCCCCCCGGCCCCACCCCTTGTGCGTGCGTGGAGCTGCGCGTGCTGCTGCGCTGCGAACCATGGCGGCCAGAGTTCGATTCCCGCTCGCGGCCAACACCCGCGTGACGATTATTTGAACCCGGTGCTGGGCTTCCCTTAGGCCGACTAGGCCTCAAATGTGTGAGCACCGCCGGGTGCTCGCTGCTCGGCACTTGCCCCTGAAGGCCACGCGGGGGACCTGTGCCTTTGCAGAGCTGTGCTCGCAGAGGGGCGGAGGCAGCGGGCTCACGCTGTCCGACGAGGACAACACCTCGGAGTTGGAGGCCGGCGTCCGGCGGCTCAACACGCTGAGCCACTACAAGGCGAGGCGCACGGACACGCACTGCACAATTGCGCACGCACGCACGCGCAAACGCACGCACGAACACGCGCATGCAAAGGCAAAGAAAGTATGCGCGCGCACGTGGACGCAAACGCACGTGTACACACGCGCGCACGCGCGCGCACACGCACGAACGAATGCACGCACACTCTTGTGCGCACACACACACACTAACGTACACACGTATGCATGCATGCACGCACACACACAAAGAACCCTCCACCACCCCCCGGATATCCTTAACGGATTTTTGGGGCAAGTGCTGTTAGCGGGCAGCTAGGTCGACTAAGCCTCAAACGGGTACTTGGTGCGGTGTGTTGACATCGCCATTGGGGAGACAAAGGTGGTCGGGCGCGGTGCTGGCCACCCACCCCCTCGCGTGCCGTTCCGGCCTTCGTAGGTGCTCGCGAACAGCACTTGCCCCAACAGTCTGTTACAGGCTACGCGGGGGGTCTTTGTGTGAGTGCGCGCGCCTGTGTGTTTGTGTCTCCGCATTGGTGCGCGCGCGTGCATGTGTGCGAGTGTGTGCGTGTGCGCTCGAGTGCCTGCGAGTGAGTGCGTGCGTGCGTGCGTGTGTGGGAATTGCAGATGTGGGACGGCAGCACGGTGATGCTGGTACCGCGCAGTCAGAGGCACGTCAAGCCGTACAACCAGTACCACGACAGGCACTTGGCGGGCGAACGTACGTACACACACGCACGCACAGGATACGTTTAATCCATAGAGTGTGGGTTTCATAATCGTGGCAGGGAGTCTGATTGTCTCGATGGTCGTCCACCTGGTTTGAATAAAGAGCTGGTTATTTAAATATATACATCACACGCACACACACGCAGGAGATGTTGGCGTCGGGCTTACGGTGAAATCCGCAACACTGCAAAGACAAAGATCCCCCGTGTAGCCTTAACGGACTGTTAGGGGCAAGTGCTGTTATCGAGCAGCACCCTATTTAGGCCGGCACGGCACACGAGGTGAGTGGGTGGCCAGCACCACGCCCGGACCACCTTTGTCTCCCCAGTGGCGATGTTCACACGCCTCTCTAGGTACTCATTTTAAGTCAACCTAGGGGAGGCCCAGTACCGGTTCAGACAACCGTCACTGGTGTAGACCGCGAGTGGCAATCGAACACGCTCGGAGACGTGCGTGTACGTACATGCACGTGGGGGGGGGTGCGTTCCGGGCTGAGCGGTTTGGGCCCACACGCTGGCGTAAGCGCCAACGACGCGGCGAGAGGAGTGAGGGGGAGAGGGGAGAGAGGAGTGAGGGGAGAGAGGAGTGAGGGGGAGAGGGGAGAGAGGAGTGAGGGGAGAGAGGAGTGAGGGGAGAGAGGAGCGAGGGGAGAGAGGAGCGAGGGGAGTGAGGAGTGAGGGGAGAGAGGAGTGAGGGGAGAGAGGAGTGAGGGGAGAGAGGAGCGAGGGGAGAGAGGAGCGAGGGGAGAGAGGAGCGAGGGGAGTGAGGAGTGAGGGGAGAGAGGAGTGAGGGGAGAGAGGGGAGTGAGAGGAGAGAGGGGGAGAGGAGTGAGGGGAGAGAGGGGAGTGAGGAGTGAGGGGAGAGAGGAGTGAGGGGAGAGAGGGGAGTGAGAGGAGAGAGGGGGAGAGGAGTGAGGGGAGAGAGGGGAGTGAGAGGAGAGAGGGGGAGAGGAGTGAGGGGAGTGAGGGGAGTGAGGAGTGAGGGGAGAGAGGGGAGAGAGGAGTGAGAGCGGCACGGTGTGTGCGGCGTTGTCGTCGTCACCTCACGCCCCCCCCCCCCGCCCCCCCCGCCCCCCCCCGCCCCCCCCCGCCCCCCCCCCCCCCCCCCCCCCCGTTGCAGGCACGTCGATGCTGCGTCACAACGAGGAGGACGGTCTCGTGCCCTACCACCTCATCAAGGCCACGGACGAGGACGAGGTGGACAAGAAACAGAGGCTGGTCAAGGAGCACGACCACGTGATGGCCATCCCGGAGATTTACCTGACACGCCTCCTCACCGTCAAGGCACGCTCGCACACACACGCACACAAAGACAAAGATCCCCCGGGTAGCCTTAACAGACTGGAGGGGCAAGTGCAGTTAGCGAGGGCCTATGAAGGCCGGAACGGCACACGAGGGGGTGGGTGGCCAGCACCACGCCCGGCCGCCTTTGTCTCCCTGGTGCGATGTTTACACATCGCACCAGGGACTCATTTGAGGCTGAGTCGACCTAGGGGAGGCCCAGGGCCGGTTCAGATAATCGTCACTGGTGTTGGCCATGAGCGGGAATCGAACCCGGGTCGCCGGGTTCGTAGCGCAGCGTAGCGCTAACCACTACACCACCGCTCCCCACACACGCACACGCATGCAGCAAGGACGTTTAACACGCAGTCGTTAAAGCCGCCACCGCCCGACATGGCAAATTAGCACGGGTTGCTCACGTGAACAGAACGTGCCAACTCGTTACTAGTTCAGCACACCGGTGTGCCGGAGAGTGAACCCACAACAGCAACGCGATCGGAGGACCTGGCCACATCACCGCGAAGTCACGGGTTATTGCACCGACTCCCATCACCAACCCACCCACGTTGCCACCATCGCCATCGACAACAACCGACGTTCGCCACTGAGCGGCGGCGATGTCACCGCGGCGCTTGCGCCAGGCTAGGTGCACACCTTCATCGGCGCTGCTCGCCGACAGCGCTTTTGCCCCAACGGTCTGTCAAGGCGACACGCGGGGATCTCCGCGCACTGTTGAGGCGTCCGCGTGAGGGTGCGGAAGGCTCGCTGACGGAGGAGGTCACGGGACAGGGCCCGGCCGGGTGCCGTGGGTCGATGGGCTGAGACGACTGGCAGAAGCGCCCACCCACACACCTGTGCCAGCGTACACGCACACACTAACAAAGACTAAGATCCCCGTGTAGCCTACACGGACTGTCGGGGCAAGTGCTGTTAGTAGCGAGCAGCACCTACGAAGGCCGGCAACGGCGCACGAGGGGGCGGGTGGCCGGCACCGCCCTCCCCTGCCCCCTCTTGCTCACGCCGTGCTTCCCGCCCTGCCCGTCGGGGGGGGGCCCCACAGACGGCGCTGCAGGAGATGGTGGAGCGCGTGTTCCGGGGCATCCTGAGCACGGACTGCGCCGTGCCGCACGGGGTGAAGTACTTCCTGGACTTCCTGGACGCGCAGGCCGAGCGCTACGACGTCAACAGCGACGTCCTGCGCATCTGGAAGAGCAACTGGTGCGTGCTAGCCGGGGTGTGGTGAGGAAAGTGGGGGGGGGCAGAAGTCTCGCAACGGCGATCATCGTCGTTGCGAGCGTCCGTCACCGCCGTGGGGCCTCGTGGCTGGAGTGGGGGCAGCTGAGGGATCCTGCGTGGTTTATTCGGGCAACCGCGTCCCGTTACCCACTCCTAGTGCTCCTTAACGTTTTCGCATTTGTCATTTTTACGATGATCGGCCTTCAAAATAAAACCGCTCGAGCCGACTTTGCGCTTCGGGAAATTTAGTGTTCGACTTTGATTCGTGTTTAGTGCGATTATTCTCTCTCGCCCACTCGCTCACCCAGCCACCATCTCTCCCATCCTCTCACTCACTCACTCACCCACCCACTCACTAACTTACCCACCTACCTACCATCTCTCCCATCCTCTCACTCACTCACTCACCCACCCACTCACTAACCCACCTACCCACCATCTCTCCCATCCTCTCACTCACTCACCCACCCACTCACTAACTTACCCACCTACCCACCATCTCTCCCATCCTCTCACTCACTCACTCACCCACCCACTCACTAACTTACCCACCTACCCACCATCTCTCCCATCCTCTCACTCACTCACTCACCCACCCACTCACTAACCCACCTACCCACCATCTCTCCCATCCTCTCACTCACTCACTCACCCACCCACTCACTAACTTACCCACCTACCCACCATCTCTCCCATCCTCTCACTCACTCAACCACCCACTCACTAACTTACCCACCTACCCACCATCTCTCCCATCCTCTCACTCACTCACTCACCCACCCACTCACTAACCCACCTACCCACCATCTCTCCCATCCTCTCATTCACTCGCTCACCCACCCACTCACTAACTTACCCACCTACCCACCATCTCTCCCATCCTCTCACTCACTCACTCACCCACCCACTCATTAACCCACCTACCCACCATCTCTCCCATCCTCTCACTCACTCACTCACCCACCCACTCATTAACCCACCTACCCACCATCTCTCCCATCCTCTCACTCACTCGCTCACCCACCCACTCACTAACCTACCCACCTACCCACCATCTCACCCATCCTCACACCCATTCACCCACCCAGTCGCTCACATACTCACTCGCCCATCATCTCTCCCATCATCTCACTCACCCACCCAATCACTCATTCACACTCGCTCTTGCGATGGGACTCTATCCTGTGTCTCCAGAGCTCCCAACAGAATTCAACGATACCAACTCAAAACTTGACTTGCGGTCTCGCGCGTGCGAATTCTCTCTCGCGTCACCGCTAACCCCCCTCCTGCCCCTTGACTGCCTCCTGGCACCGCCGCTGCTGCCCCCTCAGCTTGCTGCTGCGGTTCTGGACGCTGCTGCTGAAGGACCCGCAGCTGGTGTTCGACGTGGAGGTGTCGGAGGTGGTGCGCTCCTCGCTCGACATCATCTCGCAGACCTTCATGGACGCCTGCTCGCCGGAGGTCTACAAGATCACCAAGGTGGGGGGGGGGGAGGGGCAGGGGGGGGGGTGGGCGGCTAGAGCAGGGGTCAAAACGAACAAGAATATATACATTTTTTTCGAATTTGATACAAGACTAAAAGTAAACTGAACTATAAAAAACACAGGTCACGCGTTCACACGCGCACGCACGCACGAGTTGACAACACGCACATTTACACACACACATGAGTTGACAACACGCACATTTACACACACACACACACACGCACACACGAGTTGACAACACGCGAGTCTACACACACGCATGAATTCACAACACGCGAGTTTACGCGCGCACACACACACACACACGAGTTTACACACGCGCATCTACGCGCACACACGCATACACTTCACGTGGCCTCGAGGTGCCGTGGTGACGAATGGCGGCGGCTGTTGTTGAGTGTTTACCGAGCATGGTGAGAGAATGGTGAGCGGCGAGCGGTGATGAAACGCTCCCCCGTGTCCGGTTATCAAGCCCCGCACGGTGCGTGTTGAGCGGTGAGTGTGGCGAGTGGTGAGCGCGCACTCTTAAACGATTTTTTTTTCAAGCCCCCACTGAGCTGTGTAGCTGTTTCTCCGAAGCGACCTGGCTATCATAAACGATAGCCCGACGAAGTGGCTCACCATCATCGCGTGGAAGTTCATGAGCAGCCAAATACTCTGGCGGCGGTGCGGCAAAGGGCGCGCACCACGACGTGACGTTATTGTTAACTCGTTTTAGTTGAAAGCGTTCGGCTCGCGAAGTGTTCAGCAAGGGCCTCTTTAGTAGGCCACTCACAGGTAAGGCTCCACACGCTTGAGCACTCTCCTCCTCACTCTCCTCCTCGCTCTCCTCCTCACTCTCCTCCTCGTTCTCCTCCTCACTCTCCTCGCTCTCCTCCTCGCTCTCCTCCTCGCTCTCCTCCTCGCTCTCCTCCTCGCTCTCCTCCTCGCTCTCCTCCTCGCTCTCCTCCTCACTCTCCTCCTCACTTTCCTCCTCACTCTCCTCCCCCCTTGTGCCCACATTCTCTGCCAGTCATTGCCCCCAAGGCCTTTGTCCTCCAAGGCGGCCCACTGACGGGAGCTCGCATGCGAATATCTGCTCGCGGCTTTGGCCCCAGGTTAAAATTAACTTGGCCAGGTGCCTGCCCAGTGTCGAACGTATCTGAACCGGTGACTTCCCTTCACCCCACCGCCCGCTCCACCAACCCGGACTAACCAGCGTTGGTGAAGTATGGTGAAACGAATCCTCCATGGCCGTGGTGGCGTGGCAAGGCCCCCCTCCACCTGCAGAATCATCAGAATCTGTATACTGGAGGAGGAATCCGATGAGGCTACAAATCTCTTTTTCACGGATGTCCAGTCAGGGGCACGGGGTCAGAGCATTACAACAACAACAAACACGACACAGAAACACGATCGCAGTGCGAAGTGCAGGAAAGGCGAACACAAAGCGCCCAAACAGTAAAACTAAACCATCCCCAGCCCTCCAGGCAAAGCCCACTCGAGGCTATTAACCTATTTTACACCAGGCCTACAGAGTTCACGCAAGCAGCTGCGGAGAAATTCCGCTGTAACTTGCCATTCCCCGCCCCCCCCCGCGTGGCTCTACGCGGGAACGCGTCCTGACCCCACGACCTCTGCCCTGTGACTCCTGAACCCCACGTGACCCCCAACCCCCAGGAAGCCCCCACGCGCCGCCTCCTCTTCGCCAAGGAGCTGCCGCAGTTCCGCAAGATGGTGGAGAAGTACTATGACGACGTGGCGCAGATGGTGCCCGTGAGCGACCAGGACATGAACTCGTGGCTCAACAGGCAGTCCTGCGTGAGTGGCCCCCCACCCCCCTCCTCCAATCCCCCCACTACTACCACCCTCCACCATCGGTCGTCAGTGGAGGGGAGGGGTGGTGCAGCGGTCGTCGCACTCACGGTCTGCGTGGGCGAGCAGCGGAGGGGTTCGATGCTCGCCTCGATGAACCGATGACGCTGACGAAGGCCGCGCCACAATCATAATAATAATAATAAAAAAACACCCCCTCCTCCCCTCCCCCTATTTTACGTGGAGAGGTAAATGTGGGGAGGACGCGTTGCTTCATTTGGCTGTGGGATTTGGCTGTGGGATTTGGCTGTGGGATTTGGCTGTGCGATTTGGCTGTGGGATTTGGCTGTGGGATTTGGCTGTGGGATTTGGCTGTGGGATTTGGCTGTGGGATTTGGCAGTGGGATTTGGCAGTGGGATTTGGCAGTGGGATTTGGCAGTGGGATTTGGCAGTGGGATTTGGCAGTGGGATTTGGCAGTGGGATTTGGCAGTGGGATTTGGCAGTGGGATTTGGCAGTGGGATTTGGCAGTGGGATTTGGCAGTGGGATTTGGCAGTGGGATTTGGCAGTGGGATTTGGCAGTGGGATTTGGCAGTGGGATTTGGCAGTGGGATTTGGCTGTGGGATTTGGCTGTGGGATTTGGCTGTGGGATTTATCGAGGCTCAGTGTGTGCATCGCATCGAGTCGTTCTGCTAGTCTGGCGACTAAAGCAGCCGAACGTTTTGGCCGCACGTTCTTAGTTTGGCGGGCGGCGGCGTTGGCCGCTGTCCGTCGTGGTCCAGGCGCTGTGGAGGCAGCAGCGAGGGTTGCCGGATCACGCAAAGATGGGATGTGAAACGCTCTTTTCTACCCGTGTGGGTGTTGAAGAGGAGCCGTATCCTGGCTCTCGCCAGAATGCATAGCAGCAAAGTGCGGGACCCCACCGTGTGGCTGCTGCTGCCTTCCCACTCGTCTGCGGTGCCTACTCCTCCTCCTGGTGCCTCCGTGTCTCCGTCTCTGTCTCTCTCTATGTCTGTCTCCCTGTCTCTTTGTCTATCTCTCTGTGTGTCTCTCTCTCTGTCCATCTCTCTGTCTCTCTCTCCGTCTGTCTCTGTCTCTGTCTTTCTCTCTGTGTCTCTGTCTCTCTCCGTCTGTCTCTCTGTCTCTATCTCTCTGTCTCTCTCTCCGTCTCTCTCTGTGCCTCTGTCTTTTTCTCTGTGTCTCTGTCTCTCTCTGTGTGTCTCTGTCTCTCTCTCTCTGTGTGTATCTCTGTCTCTCTCTGTGTATCTCTGTCTCTCTCTCCGTCTGTCTCTGTGTCTGTCTCTCTCTGTGTGTCTCTGTCTCTCTCTCCGTGTCTCTGTGTCTCTCTCTGTCTGTCTCTCTGTCTCTGTGTCTCTGTCTCTCTCTATGTGTCTCTGTCTCTCTCTCTGTGTCTCTGTCACTCTCTCTGTCTCTCTCTCTCTGTCTATCACTCTGTCTCTCTCTCCGTCTGTCTCTGTGTCTCTGTCTCTCTCTCTGTGCCTGTCTTTCTCTCTGTGTCTGTCTCTGTCTCTCTCTCTGTGTCTCTGTCTCTCTCTACGTGTCTCTGTCTCTCTCTGTGTGTCTCTGTCTCTCTCTCTGTGTCTTTGTCTCTCTCTCCGTGTCTCTGTCTCTCTCTCTGTGTATCTCTCTCTCTGTGTCTCTGTCTCTCTCTCTCTCTCTGTGTCTCTGTCTCTCTCTCCGTGTCTCTGTCTCTCTCTCTGTGTCTCTGTCTCTCTCTCCGTGTCTCTGTCTCTCTCTCTCTGTCTCTCCCTCTCTGTCTCTCTCTCTGTGTCTATCCGTGTCTCTGTCTCTCTCTCTCTCTCTGCGACGACGTGGGGTGGTGCGCCGCTCACTCCCGGGAGCGAGCGAACGCTATCGTGACGCAATCGTGTCGCCGCGTGTCGCCCCAGACGTACACGAGCGAGCTGGACATGCGCGGGGCTCTGTACGAGCTGTACAAGTACGCGGACAAGTACTACGAGAAGGTACCCCTCCCTCTGCGCACTCGAGCGCGCGAGCGCCGTTGCCGCTGTTTGCCGCCACCGCCGTTGTTGACCTCGCTGCATTGCCGCCGCCGCCCCCGCCCGCCGGCTTTGCCGTCAGATCGCGGAGGCTCTGAAGGAGGACGCCACGGGGCAGCTCGCCGACCGGTTCCGCACGGCGATGCGCGACAACCCGCCCAGCGGGCACTGACGCCGCCGCCGCCGCCACCGCCGCCCGCACCAAGCGCCGAGCGCCACGCCGTGGAGACCTCGGCGACGGCGCCGACAGCAGAGGGAGGAATCCCGGAGAGGACGCCGACGGCGCGGACGCTGGTTTTACAAACCCCACGGCGGAGGGGGTCCCCCCCCCCCCCCCCGGGGAGGGTGGTCGTCTTGCGATGGGCCGCGTGCCGAGCATCGATTTTACCCCCCCCGCTCCCCGCCCCCCGCCCCCCGCTCCGAGCGTTCGCCATGCGCCGACGCGGGCCTTGTCTTGTTCGCTTCCCGGTTATCCTGTCGGGCCCCAGGACTCCCGTGATTGGACAGCGGTGACCGCCTCGTCACCGCCCCGCCGATTCGGATCGTCGGTCATCCCAGCGCGCGTGCGCGGCGACGTCCCGGGGGCGGAATCTCGCTGCCTCCGAACCCGCCCTGCCCATGGAGATCCCGCGCTGGCGTCGCGAATCCGGCGAGCTCCAGCGGCGATCCCTCTCGGCCCGGTCCGCGCTTGCCGCCGCCGCCGCCGCCGGCGCCGCCGCCGCCGCCACGGCAACGCAAAGCGGCGCCCGATCCAAGCCGGAACCCAAACCGGATCCGACGGCCCCGCGAGCCTTCGACAGCAGCCTGCGCCGGGAATCGCGAAGGAAGCGCGCGGGTGCAGGGAGGGACGCGGCCGTCCTTGGCGCCGCCCCCGGCAATACGCGGCCGTCGCCGCGACGCTCCTGCCGGTGCGGTTGGCGGGCGACGGCCGGCGTGGGGGGGGGGGGGTCTCACCGCCACCACCACCGCCACCACCGCCACCACCTCCATCATCTCCTCCTCCCCAAGAATTTCCTCCGCGCGCCGCCGCCGCCAGACGCGTCGCCGAATCGCTGGTGACGCGAGGAGCTTGCCCCACCGTCGGTCTTCCGTCAATCGACTGCTGGGTGGAGGGGGGGATGGGGGGGGGTGTAGGGGGGGGGGATGTAGGGGGGGGGGGTCGCCCCTTCCTTCACGGTGCCGCGACAATCCACGGGCCGGCGCCTGCGCGCGAGGCCGATCTCACAAAGTTCATCTCGAGTGGCCCGTGGGGACCGTATGTATAGCGAAACCACTGTGGGTAGTCTCTGCATTCCTTTCAACAGAGGAGGAACAGCAAAAAACGACGCGAACTCTCTCTCCCCCCTCTCTCTTTCCATGGAGAGAGGCACCCTCTCCCGTCGAGGTTAACAGAACGTCGGCATCTGGCTCCCCGGAATGTATTTTTCCCCGCACGAATCTCACGCACGTCCGCGAAGCGAGGGAGAGGGGGGAGAGAGGGGGAATAATCGTAACGCGAGAGAGAAATTAACGATGCAACGCGCGAGACCGCGGAGTCGACGACGACGACGACGACGACGACGATGACGATGATGACGACGACGACGACGACGACGATGACGACGACGACGACGATGATGACGACGATGACGACGACGATGACGACAACAACGACAATGATGACGACGACGATGATGATGACGACGACGACGACGATGACGACGATGACGATGACGACGATGATGATGACGACGATGATGACGTCGATGACGACGACGATGCAGTCGCGCGCCCGGCACGTCCGCTTCATTTCACGTCGCGACGCCGGTCCGAACCCCACGCCACCGTGGTGCCGTCGGGGACCGGCTGGGGGGGGGGGGGTGCTCGCAGGAGAGGGGAGTTCGAGGTCGAATTGACGAATCGAGAAGCGCGTTTGTACGTCGTTTGTATCCGCCCGTCTTTGTATAAAATAAATAAAATCTGTAATTGACGCGACGCGTCGTCACGCTGCGGGTGACGACTTTGCGATGCTGTGGGTGGAGGAGGAGGAGGGGGCTGTGAAGAAGAAGTGACTGTGAACCTGTGAACTTTTTTTTTTTTACACACCAGGGGTTGCAAGGCACACAGAGCTATGTCGCTATTGTTTCAGAAGCGACCTCGCTGTCACGAATGACAGCTCAACGAAGTGGAGGGGGGCTTATCGTCACGTGGAAATTTATAGCGGCCAAATGCTCTTAATGCGTGATGTTGATTCTAAATGTGGAGGGGAAAAAACCGGAAGGCCCGGACAAAAATTCCACGCGACCACGGTGCGCGCGAAACTAAACTATCTTATTTGACCAGGTAAGGTCTCGCCGAGATACGTAGATCTTTTTCGGAAGCGGCCTGGCCACAAATGATAACTTAACGTCGTGGCTTATCATCATCACGTGGAAATGTAGAACAGGAAAATACTCTAAACGCACGTTGCTTCTAAATGTGGCGGGCAACAGCCGGAGAAAAACCGCATGCGACCACGGAGAGAACACGCACACTCCAAATTTACAACGGGCTTTTTAGGGTCGGCATCGAACCCACGACCTCCTGCATACCAGGCGAGGTAATTAACATCTCGCTACCGTGGGAAAAGCCGTGTGGAGGTTGGGAAGAGAAACCGTGAAAGTGTGGGGGGGTATTGTGGAGTGCCGAGAGTTGAAGATTGACATTGCAAAACCACTCCAGTGGTCAGTCTTGCAGATTTGGAACGACCCGATCGACGTCGACTCTTGGGCACGTGGTCGTGGCTGCGCCTTGCGACGCCTTCGCACGCCCGCAAGCTGCAGAGGGCTCGCGGCTCCACATCCAGCGGCCGCTCCGATTTAATACCGCAGGTTTTAAAGCGGAGCAACAGAGAGAGACCCGCTTCGCTCGCGAGTGGGACCCTCCAAATCCCGTGACGCCATCCGCAAGAGTTTGGCCATTGTGTGCGGGCGTCAGGGGTCCGAAGTCGGCACTCTTCATCGCAAGGCCCCTGACCCGCGGCCCCCACCGACAATACACAAAGAGTGAAAACACCCCCCCCCCACCCTCGGAAAAGTGAATACTGACTTAAGTTTTCAAAGAAATGACACCACAGGTTACGCGCACAGCAGCAACTATCGCCCCCTACTGGCTGAAGACTTATCCGTGGGTCTATGGATCTCTGTGAGTCTGGATCTCTGCTATGTAAGTCTATGGGTATCTGTGTGAGTCTATGGTTATTTGTGTGAGTCTATGGATCTCTGCTATGTGAGTCTATGGGTATCTGTGTGAGTCTATGGGTATCTGTATGAGTCTATGGGTATCTGTGTGAGTAGTCTATGGGTCTCTGTGTGAGTCTATGGGTGTCTGTGTGAGTCTATGGCTCTCTGTGTGAGTCTATGGTTATATGTGCGAGTCTATGAGTATATCTGAGTCTGTGGATCTCTGCTATGTGAGTCTATGGGTATCTGTGTGAGTCTATGGGTCTCTGTGTGAGTCTATGGTTATTTGTGTGAGTCTATGGGTCTATGTGAGTCTATGGGTCTATGTGAGTCTGTGGATCTCTGCTATGTGAGTCTATGGGTCTCTGTGTGAGTCTGTGGGTCTCTGTGTGAGTCTATGGGACTGTGTGAGTCTATGAGTATCTGTGTGAGTCTGTTGGTCTCTGTGTGAGTCTATGGGTCTCTGTGTGAGGCTATGGGTATCTGTGTGAGTCTATGGTTATTTGTGTGAGTCTATGGATCTCTGCTATGTAAGTCTATGGGTATCTGTGTGAGTCTATGGGTATCTGTGTGAGTCTATGGGTCTCTGTAAGTCTGTGGATCTCTGTGCCTCTGGATCTCTGCTATGTAAGTCTATGGGTATCTGTGTGAGTCTATGGTTATATGTGCGAGTCTATGAGTATATCTGAGTCTGTGGATCTCTGCTATGTGAGTCTATGGGTATCTGTGTGAGTCTATGGGTCTCTGTGTGAGTCTATGGTTATTTGTGTGAGTCTATGGGTCTATGTGAGTCTATGGGTCTATGTGAGTCTGTGGATCTCTGCTATGTGAGTCTATGGGTCTCTGTGTGAGTCTATGGGTCTCTGTGTGAGTCTATGGGTCTCTGTGTGAGTCTATGAGTATCTGTGTGAGTCTATGGGTCTCTGTGTGAGTCTATGGGTCTCTGTGTGAGTCTATGGGTCTCTGGGTGAGTCTATAGGTCTCTGTGTGAGTCTATGGGTCTATGTGAGTCTATGGATCACTGTGTGAGTCTATGGGTCTCTGTATGAGTCTATGGGTCTCTGTGTGAGGCTATGGGTCTCTGTGTGAGCCTATTGGTCTCTGTGTGAGTCTATGGGTCTCTGTGTGAGTCTATGGGTCTCTGTGTGAGTCTATGGGTCTCTGTGTGAGTCTATGGGTCTCTGTGTGAGTCTATGGGTCTCTGTGTGAGTCTATGGGTCTCTTTATGAGTCTATGGGTCTCTGTGTGAGTCTATGGGTCTCTGTGTGAGTATATGGGTCTCTATTTGAGTCTATGGGTCTCTGTGTGAGTCTATGGATCTCTGTGTGAGTCTATGGGGCTCTGTGTGAGTCTATGGGTCTCTGTGTAAGTATATGGGTCTCTGTGTGAGTCTATGGGTCTCTGTGTGAGTCTATGGGTCTCTGTGTGAGTCTATGGGTTTCTGTGTGAGTCTATGGGTCTCTGTGTGAGTCTATGGGTCTATGTGAGTCTATGGATCTCTGTGTGAGTCTATGGATCTCTGTGTGAGTTTATGGGTCTCTGTGTGAGTCTATCGGTCTCAGTGTGAGTCTATGGGTCTCTGTGTGAGTCTATGAGTCTCTGTGTGAGTATATGGGTCTCTGTTTGAGTCTATGGGTCTCTGTGTGAGTCTATGGATCTCTGTGTGAGTCTATGGATCTCTGTGTGAGTCTATGGGTCTCTGTGTGAGTCTATGGGTCTATGTGAGTCTATGGATCTCTGTGTGAGTCTATCGGTCTCTGTGTGAGTCTATCGGTCTCAGTGTGAGTCTATGGGTCTCTGTGTGAGTCTATGGGTCTCTGTGTGAGTCTATGGGTCTATGTGAGTCTATGGATCTCTGTGTGAGTCTATGGGTCTCTGTGTGAGTCTATGGATCTGTGTCTCTGTGTGAGTCTATGGGTCTCTGCGTGAGTCTATGGGTCTCTGCGTGAGTCTATGGGTCTCTGTGTGAGTCTATGGGTCTCTGTGTGAGTATATGGGTCTCTGTGTGAGTATATGGGTCTCTGTGTGAGTCTATGGGTCTCTGTGTGAGTCTATGGGTCTCCGTGTGAGTCTATGGGTCTCCGTGTGAGTCTATGGGTCTCCGTGTGAGTCTATGGGTCTCCGTGTGAGTCTATGGGTCTCTGTGTGAGTCTATGGGGTCTGTGCGAGTCTATGGGTCTCTGTGTGAGTCTATGGGTCTCTGTGTGAGTCTATGGGTCTCTGTGTTAGTCTATGGGTCTCTGCGTGAGTCTATGGGTCTCTGTGTGAGTCTATGGGTCTCTGTGTGAGTCTATGGGTCTGTGTGAGTCTATGGGTCTCTGTGTGAGTCTATGGGTCTCTGTGTGGGTCTATGGGTTTCTATGTGAGTCTATGGGTTTCTATGTGAGTCTATGGGTCTCTGTGTGAGTCTATGGGTTTCTATGTGAGTCTATGGGTCTCTGTGTGAGTCTATGGGTCTCTGTGTGAGTCTATGGGTCTCTGTGTGAGTCTATGGGTCTCTGTGTGAGTCTATGTGAGTCTATGGGTCTCTGTGTGAGTCTATCGGTCTCTGTGTTAGTCTATCGGTCTCAGTGTGAGTCTATGGGTCTGTGTGAGTCTGTGGGTCTCTATGTGAGTCTATGATCTGTGTATAACACTTTCGCACCGTACGTAACCAACCGCGCTAATCGCAGGTGCGGGGGAAGGACAAACTAAATACACAATAGGCTGTTCTAAACAAATGAGTTTGTCAATCGAGATGATGATGATTATAAAAGTGTCGCACAGATTTCTGTGGCTTCCCAATAGCGCAAGGGAGCTGCGTTCCAGACGGCCGCGTCTGAAATCGCAGCCCAAATCAGGTGGTGATGGTGGTGGTGGTGGGGGAACGGTGGCGCAGTGGTTAGCGCACCGGGGCTGCAATTCCTGACCCCACAGCTGTCAACCCACACGGGGTTTTAAGCCCGCGTTCTTGTGTCAGGGAAATTTGAGTGTCCAGGTTCCCTCCATAGGGCGTGCAGACGTTCCAACGCGGGCAGCTTTTGTTCGTGTGTTTGTGTGTTTCTCTCTCCTGTAGCATGAACGTTGAGATTTTGTAAGGGGACACTGCTAAGGGGTTGACAGCTGTGGGGGTTTTCGTGACCCGCCAGGAATCCATTCGGTAAAATCACGTAGCTAGAAAATCAATCACGACGTTTCGATATGTATATGTATAAAATCCAGCGGTGGAAGCCGCTCCAGTGTTGGCTTATATTGTTTTCCGCCTGAGTTCGATCGCTTGCTTGCGTTGCGATCAAAACGTCGCGAAACAACCAACCGAGTACATCTGTGGGTTCTGTGGCGTTTCCTTTCAGCTCCGCGCCGACCAAGCGTGGATGAAGTGTGGCCCTTCACACAACCTCGGTGACAACAACAACAACAACTTCAACACGAGCTACAACGCTCCGCTGTTGTTAGGTGCCGGAACCAAAATAACGTAGGCACCCGGAACTAAAAATGCGATGGTGGTTGTGGTGGCGGGGGGTAGTGGTAGCGGGGGAGGAAGAAAACTTCGCGAGCACCACTTCCGCCTCCCCCCCCCACTCACCCCGGTACTCGCACGCGATTGGTCGACAGCTCGGTCGAGCGCACGCCGGCTGGCCAATCGCGTGGCCGCTTGCTGTGGTGGGGGTCGAGCCACGTGCGTCTTGGAGCTTCCACGTGGGGAGAGACGGTGACCAACGCTCGCTGGCAATTAAAACGCGGGAAACGTCGCTAATTAACGAGGGGTGACGTCGCTAATTAAGCCCCCACACACAACCCCCCCCCCCTGCCGAGCGAGTGACGCCGCCCGGGCAGCACCAGCGAGTCACTCGCCTCGCTCCGCTGGAGACTCGCGCGGTGTGTTGGTTAAAGTGGCTAGGGGGTGGATGTCTCGTTGTCTCTTAAGACTCTGCATGATCATCATCATCACCACCACTGCAGAGGTGGGGCAGCTGTCAACCATCGACTCTTAGGCTCCCCGTCGTCGTCGTGACACGTGGGCCACAGGGCTTGGCCAGCGACAACCATCCACACTCTAGTTCGTCTTCGGCGCCAGAGTAGTAAATCACTCGGCTCGCGAGTTAGTAACTTGTCAACAGTTCGACTCGCTGGTCAGCGCGACTCGCGGAGTCTCCACCCACCTCGCACCCCCCTCTCCCACCTCCACCACGCTAGAGCGAACGTCTCTCATGGAGGCCGCGAAGCGAGGGCGGGAGAGCGGAGAGGCCGAGGAGGCGCGGCCCGAGAAGAGGCCGAGGGGGGAAGGGAGAGGCGACGCCGCTGGGGAGGCGCACGCGGGAGACGAGAGGGAGACTCGCGGGGAGAGGCGCGGCACCGTGGGGAGTGGAGAGGAGACCGGGGGAGGAGGCGAGGCGCGGGGAGCGGACGCTCGCCCCGGCGATGTTGCTCCATCCGCCGAGGTGGTCACGGCTGAAGATGCTGATGGTGATGTCGACGGCGATGCTGCTGCTGGTGGTGGTGATGATGCTGGTGGTGGTGGTGATGATGCTGGTGGTGGTGATGATGCTGGTGGTGATGATGTTGCTGCTGGTGGTGATGATGCTGGTGGTGATGATGCTGCTGCTGGTGATGATGCTGCTGCTGGTGGTGATGATGCTGCTGGTGGTGGTGATGATGTTGCTGGTGGTGATGATGCTGCTGCTGGTGGTGGTGGTGGCGGCGATGGGGGAGACGTGGTGGTGCGGGAACAGGGAGGCGAGGAATTCGCGGAGCTGATGAAACACGGCCTCGTGGAGGTCGACGTGGGCATCGCCGAGTTCGTGAGCCACCTCGCGGGGTTCTCGGGCATCCTCAAGGAGCGGTGAGCGCGACGCTCGCGGTGATGGCGGTGGTGTGGTGATGGTGTGTCGGTGATGACGGTGGTGGTGATAGCGGTGATGGGGTGGTGATGGTGATAGCTGTAAGCCCCAGGCTACTTTGGGCTCGCCTTCCCATCAACCAGATGCGAGGAGTGGTGGTCGTGGTTACTTACGCACCCACCGAAGACGAACATCCGTGGAGGGATGCAGGCAAGGCCGATGAGTCAGATGCCTTCTGTGACCTGTCACAGATGCTGGCTAAAGTGGCACCTCGGGATAGAGTCATCTTGTTGGGTGACTTCAATTCCCGAGTTCGTCATGATGCTGACACCTGGTCTGGAGTGATTTTAAGGCAAGGGCCAGATCAGCTCAATAACAACGGTAGGAGGCTGCTAGATTTTTATGCAGCCCATGGGCTTGTAATTACCAACACGCTGTTCCGGCATCGGCGCATCCACACAACATCATGGATGCATGCCGGGTCCAAGCAAGAACATCTGCTGGACTACATAGTGATGGACAGGTGGATCGCGGGCCCATGTCCTTGACACCAGGACCCACCGTGGAGCTGATCTGGCCTCTGACCATCGACTAGTCATCTGTAAGATGTGCCTGCCATTCTTCCATTCCGGTGGTAGGTGTACACCCAGGACCCCATTCAAACCTACAGTGGTATGGTCTCAGCTAGCTGATGAAAGTTGCAAGCGAGAATTTAATCATCGCTTGCGGCTGGGGTTGACATCGTCCCCCACTCCTCCTGATGTCGAGGGTAAATGGCCGAGGTTTAGGACTGTGACTCATGCAGCTGCAATGGCTGCTTTGGGTACGCGGTCCAGACCTCTCCAGAGACTCTGACTGACAGAGGAGGTGTTCAGAATGGCTGAGAAAAAGCGACAGGCCCACTCATCATCTACAGCATCCCACGTCAGAAAATGAGGAGGCTTACCGCAGCCTTTGCTCAGAGGTTCAGAGAGCCGTGAGGCGCTGCAAGGATGGGTGGTGGTCGCGGGTTGCTGAGGAGATGGAGTCTGCCTCAGTGGCCCACGACCACAATTTGCTCTTTGATTCCATCAAAAAAGTTAGTTGCAGTCCCACACCTATTACCATCAGGGGAAAGAACGGTGATCCAATCTCTGACCCCCAGGAACAGGTTTGCAGATGTGCTGAGCATTTCTGTGAGGTCCTGGGGGAGGGGAAATCCCTCGGCCAGGAAAACATCGTGGCACAAAGTTGGGATGACTCTGCTGAGGCTGTGGTGCCTAAAATATTGGAAGAAGTCACCCCCTGTGAGTGGCTGGCTGAGGTGCCACTTTTTGAGTAAGCACTGAAAGCGATCCAGAGTCTGAGACCAGGAAAGGCACTGGGCAGAGATGATCTCCCAAGCAAAATGCTGAGGGAGGGTGGCGTTTGTGCACAGACTGTCCTACATAACATCATAACAACAGTCTGGACCACTGGACGGGTTCCGCAGGATTGGAAGGATGCCCTGGTGGTCCCCCTTTTTAAGAAGGGGGACCGCACAGACTGTAACAACTACAGGGGCATCTCACTCCTCAGTGTGCCAGGAAAGATCCTTGCAAGGATTATTAAACATCGCCTTACCAGGCACGCTGAGGAGAGGCTTGCGGAGCCCCAATGCGGTTTCAGGAAAGGGCAGTCCTGTACAGATGCCATATTTACTGTTCGTCTGCTACAGCAAAGGTGTAGGGAATTCCAACAAGACCTACATCTCTGCTTTATTAACCTGGTCAAGGCCTATGATACCATCAGTAGGCATGGGCTCTGGGTTGTTCTTCGTGCTTTCGGAGTCCCTGACCCTCTGCTCACTATCATTAAGGACCTTCATGATGGTGAGCGGGCCCGGGTAAAACTACGTGGCCGGCAGTCGGAGCGATTCCCTGTTCACCTAGGGGTGCGACAGGGATGTCCTCTGGCTCCCACATTATTTAACATCTATTTCCACCACGTAGTTCGTGAAGCCTTCAATAACTGTACCGGAGGAATTTCCATCTGATACAGATACAATGGGAGGCTGATCGATGCCCGGGTGCGGTCAAGGGATGGCTCCCTATTGGTCAATCATGTTATGTATACCGATGATCTGGTAATAGCTGCTCATTCAGAGGAGGAGTTGGAGACGCTGCTGCTGAGACTGGAGCGTGCCACTAAGAGATGGGGCCTTACCATCAGCCCCACCAAAACTAACCACCTGCCTGGGTACAGTGAGGGAAAAAAGTATTTGATCCCCTGCTGATTTTGTACGTTTGCCCACTGACAAAGAAATGATCAGTTTATCATTTTAATGGTAGGTTTATTTTAACAGTGAGAGACAGAATAACAACAAAAAAATCCAGAAAAACGCATGTCAAAAATGTTATAAATTGATTTGCATTTTAATGAGGGAAATAAGTATTTGACCCCTCTGCAAAACATGACTTGGTACTTGGTGGCAAAACCCTTGTTGGCAATCACAGAGGTCAGACGTTTCTTGTAGTTGGCCACCAGGTTTACACATCTCAGGAGGGATTTTGACCCACTCCTCTTTGCAGATCTTCTCCAAGTCATTAAGGTTTCGAGGCTGACGTTTGGCAACTCGAACCTTCAGCTCCTCCACAGATTTTCTATGGGATTAAGGTCTGGAGACTGGCTAGGCAACTCCAGGACCTTAATGTGCTTCTTCTTGAGCCACTCCTTTGATGCCTTGGCCGTGTGTTTGGGTCATTGTCATGCTGGAATACCCATCCACGACCCATTTTCAATGCCCTGGCTGAGGGAAGGAGGTTCTCATCCAAGATTTGACGGTACATGGCCCCATCCATCGTTCCTTTGATGCGGTGAAGTTGTCCTGTCCCCTTAGCAGAAAAAACACCCCCAAAGCATAATGTTTCCACCTCCATGTTTGACGGTGGGGATGGTATTCTTGGGGTCATGGGCAGCATTCCTCCTCCTCCAAACACGGCGAGTTGAGTTGATGCCAAAGAGCTCCATTTTGGTCTCATCTGACCACAACACTTTCACCCAGTTGTCCTCTGAATAATTCAGATGTTCATTGGCAAACTTCAGACGGGCATGTATATGTGCTTTCTTGAGCAGGGGGACCTTGCGGGCGCTGCAGGATTTCAGTCCTTCACGGCATAGTGTGTTACCAATTGTTTTCTTGGTGACTATGGTCCCAGCTGCCTTGAGATCATTGACAAGATCCTCCCGTGTAGTTTTGGGCTGATTCCTCACCGGTCTCGTGATCATTGCAACTCCACGAGGTGAGATCTTGCATGGAGCCCCAGGCCGAGGGAGATTGACAGTTCTTTTGTGTTTCTTCCATTTGCGGATAATCGCACCAACTGTTGTCACCTTCTCACCAAGCTGCTTGGCAATGGACTTGTAGCCCATTCCAGCCTTGTGTAGGTCTACAATCTTGTCCCTGACATCCTTGGAGAGCTCTTTGGTCTTGGCCATGGTGGAGAGTTTGGAATCTGATTGATTGATTGCTTCTGTGGACAGGTGTCTTTTATACAGGTAACAAACTGAGATTAGGAGCACTCCCTTTAAGAGTGTGCTTCTAATCTCAGCTCGTTACCTGTATAAAAGACACCTGGGAGTCATAAATCTTTATGATTGAGAGGGGGTCAAATACTTATTTCCCTCGTTAAAATGCAAATCAATTTATAGCATTTTTGACATGCGTTTATCTGGATTTTTTTGTTGTTATTCTGTCTCACACTGTTCAAATAAACCTACCATTAAAATTATAGACTGATCATTTCTTTGTCAGTGGGCAAACATACAGAATCAGCAGGGGATCAAATACTTTCTTCCCTCACTGTATTTTCTACCATGGGACAGTTGCGGAGAGATGGCGTGATGTGGTATAGGAGGACGTGGAGATGAGTGGACTTGCCGATGACTGGTACCAGCGGTGTCAAGATCGGCCTCTGTGGAGGAGGCTCGTGAAGGATGCTACTGGGCAGTTGGAGGCAGTCGCCCTCCAACAACAACGGAGGGTGGAGGAGCGACGCTCACAACAATGAGCGGAGCGCCGGGTGGCTAAAGCACAGCAGGTTGGCACAGGAGGGGGCACAGGTGGTGCATCAGCCAGTCATCTCAGTCAGTCGACCCGTGGCACCTGGGTCTACCCCGTGACCTCCTGCCAGCGGGCGTTCGACACTTCACGTGGCCTTAAAGTGCACATAGCCTGGCAAAAGCGCCGTGGTGACGTCATCGCTACTTAGTGATGAATGGCGGTTGTTTTTGGTAACGCTAGTGATGGCGGTGGTGTTAATGTTGTTATTGATGGTGGTGGCGATGATGGTGGTGGTGATGATGTGGGCAGGTATTCTGACTTTGTGGTGCATGAGATCAACGAGGAAGGGAAGGTCTTGCATCTCGACGACCTCAACCCCCCCGCCTCGCAGGAAGAGGTGACAATCATCGCACCTCGTCAGCATCTCACTCACCACGCGGCAACATCCGTCACACATCGTACAGCAACATCATCGCACCACGCAGCGTCATCATCATCATCACCGTGGCTACAGCTTAATTTACTCGATGTGTGGTTCATGAAAGATGGGTGTGTGTGTGCGCGCGTGTGTCTGAGCGTCTTTGTCAGTGTGTCTGTCTGGCTGTATTTGAGGACCCGGTGCGGTGTGTGAACATCGCCACTAAGGGAGACAAAGGCGGCCGGGATTGGTGCTGGCCACCCACCCCCTCGTGTGCCGTGCCCGTCTTCATTGGTGCTACTGGCTAACAGCGCTTGCCCCAGAAAGTCTGTTGAGGCTACACGGGGGATCTTTGAATCTGTGTGAGTGTGTGTGTCTGAATGCGTGATAGTGCTTGTGTCAGTGTGTTCGTTTGTCTCTGTTTCGTGTGTGGGGAGCGGTGGCGCAGCGGTTGGCGCTCCGCTGCGCTACGTTAACCCGGCGACCTGAGCTCAATTCCCGCTCACGGCCAACACCATCAGTGACGATTATCTGAACAGGTCCTGGGCCTCCCTCCAGGTCGACTCGGTCTCAAATGAGTACCCGGTGGCGGTGTGTAGTAAACATCGGCACTGGGGGAGACAAAGGCGGCCGGGTGTGACGCTGGCCACCCCCTCCTGGTGTGCCCTGCCGGCCTCCATAGGTGCTGCTCGCTCACAGCACTTGCCCCAAAAAGTTTGTTTGAGGCTACACGGCGGGGGATGTTCGTCCGCGTAGGTGCGCGTGGACGTGGACACGGGGCCGCTCACGGACGAGCAGCTCGCTCTCCTTGCCGACCTCCAGGCCGGCAAAGGTCACGACTTCCTCATGGAGGTGAGCGGCGGCGACGGCTAGGAGGTCGAAGGTTACCACGAGCACCAAGGGCACCATCCCGACTCTCACTGCTCACCACGCACTAGGGGGTGACGGGGGGGGCGGGCGGGGGGGGGGGGGGCATTGTGCGGACACTGCGTGCGTGCAAGTGTGTGCGTCTCTGCGAATCTGTGTGCGTGAACCCGGTCATGGGCGTCCCCGACATCGACTCGGTCCTCAAATGAGCACCTGGAGTAAACCGTCGCCACTGGGGGAGACAAAGGCGGCCACCCACCCCCTCGTGCGCCGCGCCGGCCTTCGTAGGCGCTGCTCGCGGACAACCGCCGCCGCCGCCGCGGTCTGTTCAGGCTCCGCGGGGGGATGTTTGTCTTTGCGTGCGTGCGAGGTGGCAGGTGGAGCACCTGAGTAAGGATTCCCGCGCCGAGCTTCACCGCGCCGTGCGTGCTCGCTTCCCGCGCCTGGAGACGCGGACCGAGCAGAGGGACGCTCGCCGCGTCATCGTGGCCTACCGCACCGCCTCGCTCACCGGGCGCGGTGAGTGGGGCGCCGCGGTGGCCGGGAGATGTCGACTCCCTCGCCTGGTACGCAGGAGGCCGTGGGTTCCATCCCGGCCCCTGACGCCTGCTGTATGTTTGGAGTTTGCGTGTCTCTCTCTCTCTATCATCATCATCATGGTGGCTAGGAGATGTTAACTACCTCGCCTGGTGTACAGGAGGTCGTGGGTTCGATCCAGACCCTGACGCCTGCTGCTGCTGTGTATTTGTGGGGTTTGCATCTCTCTGTCTCTCTCTCCCTGTAGAGATGTTAACTCCCTCGCCTGCTCTACAGGAGGTCGTGGGTTCGATCCCGGCCCTGACGCCTGCTGTTTATTTGGAGTTTGCGTGTCTCTCTCTCATCATCATCATCATGGTGGCTAGGAGATGTTAACTCCTTCGCCTGGTGTACAGGAGGTCGTGGGTTCGATCCCTGGACTGATGCCTGCTGCTGCTGTATATTTGGAGTTTGCGTGTCTCTCTCTCACCGTGATAACGTGGATACTTCTCCAGGTCCTCCGCATTCCACATTTAGAATCAACATTACACGTTTCGAGTGTTTGGATGCTATGAATGTGAATGATGAGCCACTTCGTTGAGCTATCATTTGTGATGGCCGGCTCGCTTCTGCAAAAAAAAACGCCAAAGGTAAGTGGGGCCTCACCTGGTGAAAACAAATAGTATAAGTTTATAGTTTGAGAGGTGCGCGCTCACCACTCGCCAAACTCGCCACTCAACAGCACCGCGCAGCTTGATAACCGGACACGGGGGAGTGTTTGCGCGCCACTCTCTCACCACGCTCGGTAAACACTCGACAACAACAACAACAACCGCCGCCCCCGTACGTTACCACAGCACCTTGAGCCAACGTGAAGTCTGTTGAGACTAGCGCGTGAACCCGTGTGTGTGCGTGTGAACTCGTGTGTGTGTGTGTGTGCGCGTGCGTGCGTGCGTGCGTGCGTGCGTGCGTGTGTAGGCTCGCGCGTGAACTCGTGTGTGTAGGCTCGTGTGTGTGTGTGTGTAGACTCGCATGTGAACTCGTGTGTGTGTGTGTGTGTGTACGCGTGTGTGTGTGTACGTGTGTGTACGTGTGTGTGTGTGTACTCGTGTGTGTGTGTGTGTACTCGTGTGTGTGTACGCGCGTGTGTGTGTACGCGTGTGTGTGTACGCGTGTGTATGTGTGTACGTGTGTATGTGTGTACTCGTGTGTGCGTGAACTCGCGTGTGTGTGCGTGCGTGTGTGTGCGTGCGTGTGTGTGTGGGATTGGCATCGTCCCCGACTCCTGATGTCGAGAGTAAATGGGCAAGGTTTAGGACTGTGACTCATGCAGCTGCAATGGCTGCTTTGGGTACGCGGTCCAGACCTCCCCAGAGACCCTGGCTGACAGAGGAGGTGTTCAGGATGGTTGAGAAAAAGCGACAGGCCCACTGTCATCGGCTACAGAATCCCACGTCAGAGAATGAGGAGGCTTACCACAGCCTTCGCTCGGAGGTTCGGAGAGCCGTGAGGCGCTGCAAGGATGGGTGGTGGTCGCGGGTTGCTGAGGAGATGAAGTCTGCCTCAGTGGCCCGTGATCACAAATCTCTATTTAACTCCATCAAAAAAGTAACCTGCAGCACCACACCTATTACCATCATTAGGGGAAAAAACGGTGATCCAATCTCTGACCCCCAGCAACAGGTTTGCAGATTTGCTGAGCATTTCTGTGAGGTCCTGGGGGAGGGAAAATCCCTCAGCCAGGAAAACATCGTGGCACAAAGTGAGGATGACCCTGCTGAGGCTGCGGTGCCTCAAATATTGGAAGAAGTCACCCCCTGTGAGTGGCTGGCTGAGGTGCCATCTGTTGAGGAAGTACTGAAGGCGATCCGGAGTCTGAGACCAGGAAAGGCAGCGGGCAGAGATGATCTCCCAAGCGAAATGCTGAGGGAGGGTGGCGTTTGTGCACAGACTGCCCTATATGACATCATAACAAGTCTGGACCACTGGACGGGTTCCGCAGGATTGGAAGGATGCCCTGGTCGTCCCCCTTTTTAAGAAGGGGGACCGCACAGACTGTAACAACTACAGGGGCATCTCACTCCTCAGTGTGCCGGGAAAGGTCCTGGCAAGGATTATTCAGCATCGCCTTGCCAGGCACGCTGAGGAGAGGCTTGCGGAGCTCCAATGCGGTTTCAGGAAAGGGCGGTCCTGCACAGATGCCATATTTTCTGTCCGTCTGCTACAGCAAAGGTGTAGGGAATTCCAACATGACCCACATCTCTGCTTTATTGACCTGATCAAGGCCTATGATACCATCAGTAGGCCTGGGCTCTGGGTCATTCTTCGTGCTTTTGGAGTACCTGACCCTCTGCTCACGATCATTAAGGACCTTCATGATGGTGAGCGGGCCCGGGTAAAACTACGTGGCCGGGAGTCAGAGCCATTCCCTATACACCTTGGGGTGCGACAGGGATGTCCTCTGGCTCCCACATTATTTAACGTCTATTTTGACCACGTAGTTCGTGAAGCCTTCAATAGCTGTACCGGGGGAATCTCCATATGGTACAGATATAATGGGAGGCTGATCGATGCCCGGGTGCGGTCAAGGGATGGCTCCCTATTGCTCAACCACGTTATGTATGCTGATGATTTGGTAATAGCTGCTCAGTCAGAGGAGGAGTTGGAGACGCTGCTGCTGAGACTGGAGCGTGCCACTAAGAGGTGGGGCCTTACCATCAGCCCCACCAAAACTAAGCACCTGCCTGGGTATTTTGTACCATCGGACACTCCACCCCCAATCGGTGATGGGGCAGTTGTGGAGAGAGTGGAGAGTTTCCCATACCTGGGCAGTGTGCTTATGACTGGCTCCAGTTTAACAGCAGAGGTCTCACTCCGAATCAGTCGAGCGGCACTATCTTTTCATCGGTTGCGTAACGCTGTGTGGAAGCTACCTGGTCTGTCGCTCCGCACTAAGCTTCAGGTCTTCTCGGCCACGGTCATTCTCTCCCTTCTCTACGCTTGCGAAACATGGACCCCCCTAATGGAACATCTTCGCCGGTTAGAAACATTTAGATTGGCCTGCCTACGATCCATCCTGGGTTTAACCAGACTGGATTGTGTGAGGAGCTCACAAATCCTTGAAAGATCTGGGCAAGGTCCCACCGGTGAGCTCCTCCGGCGGGCAAGGCTGCGATGGCTGGGTCATGTAGCCCGCATGCCCAGCCACCGCATGCCGAAACAGCTTTTGTTCGGGGCTAAACGGGCGCGGCACGGGCTAGAGAAGAGATGGAGTGATGTGGTACAGGAGGACGTGGAGCTGAGTGGACCTGCCGATGACTGGTACCAGCGGTGTCAAGATCGGCCTCTGTGGAGGAGGCTCGTGAAGGATGCTACTGGGCAGTTGGAGGCAGTCGCCCTCCAACAACAACGGAGGGCGGAGGAGCGACGCTCAGAACAACGAGCGGAGCGCCGGGTGGCTAAAGCACAGCAGGTTGGCACAGTAGGGGGCACAGGTGGTGCATCAGCCAGTCATCTCAGTCAGTCGACCCGTGGCACCTGGGTCTGCCCCGTGACCTCCTGCCAGCGGGCGTTCGACACTTCACGTGGCCTCAGGGTGCACATAGCCTGGCACAAGCGTCGTGGTGACGTCACCGCCACTTAGTGGCGAATGGCGGTTGTTGTGTGTGTGCGTGTGTGTGCGTGCTTTTGTGTGCGTGCGCGTGCGTGTGTAGACTCGTGCGTGAACTCGTGTGTGTGTGTGCGTGTGTGTGAACTCGTGCGTGTGTGTGTGAACTCGTGCGTGTGTGTGTAGACTCGCGTGTGAACTCGTGGCCGAAGGCACGTGGCAGCTTCTGCCGCTTCGTGCTCTACAAGGAGAACCGCGACACCATGGACGCCGTGAGCTCCCTGGCCAGCCTCGTGCGGTGAGTGGGGGGGGTGGGGCATCCCGGTCGTCTGTGTGGCACCCTCCAATACACACACAACAAAGATAACAAAGATCCCCCATATAGCCTTAACAGACTGTAGGGGCAAGTGCTGTTAGCAAGCACCTATGAAGGCTGGAACGGTACACGAGGGGGTGGGTGGCCAGCACCACGCCCGACCGCCTTTGTCTCCCTAGTGGCAATGTTTACACACTGCACCAGGTACTCATTTGAGGCTGAGTCGACCTAGGGGAGGCCCGTGACCGAGTTAAGATAATCGTCACTGGTGTTGGTCGTGAGCGGGAATCGAACCCGTGTCGCCGGGTTCATAGCGCAGCACGCTAACCGCTACACTATCGCTCCCCACACACACACACACACCCACACACACACACCCTCACCCACCCACACCCACCCACACACACACCCACCCACACACACCCACACACACCCACCCTCCCACACCCACCCACACCCACCCACCCTCCCACACCCACCCACCCTCCCACACCCACCCACCCTCCCACACCCACCCACCCTCCCACACACCCACCCTCCCACACACCCACATCCACCCTCACCCACCCACACACACCCACCCACACTCACCCACACCCACCCTCACGCACCCACCCACACCCAGGCACACCCACCCACACCCACCCACACCCACCCATCCACACCCACCCACACACACCAACCCACCCACACACACCAACCCACCCACACACACCCACCCACACACGCCCACCCACCCTCCCACACCCTCCCACCCACACCCACCCACCCACACCCTCCCACACCCACCCACACCCACCCACCCCCACACACCCACACACCCCCACAGACCCACCCACCCCCACACACCCACCCCCACACACCCACCCCCACACACCCACCCCCACACACCCACCCACACCCACCCACCCACCCTCACCAACCCACCCACCCTCACCAACCCACCCACCCTCACCAACCCACACCCACCCACACCAACCCACACCCACCCACCCTCCAAAATCCACCCATAGCAACCATAGTTGCACCCATACCCACCCATGCCCACAGCACCTCTGGATAACCACCTACCTTCTCCGTGCACCTAGCCTGGTACGCGGCTGACGTATGTATGTGTGCGTTGGCGTGTGTGTATGTGTGGACGTGTATGTGCGTATGTGCATGGGCGTGTGGACCGTGCGTGTGTGCGCTTGTGTGTGTGTGCGTATGTGCCTGCGTGTGTGTGTGTGTGTGTGCGTGTGTGTGTGTACGTGTGTGTACGTGTGTGTGTACGTGTGTGTTTACGTGTGTGTGTGTGTGTACGTGTGTGTGTGTGTGTACATGTGTGTGTTTACGTGTGTGTGTGTGTACGTGTGTGTGTGTACGTGTGCGTGTGTGTCTACATGTGTGTGTACGTGTGTGTGCGTGTGTACATGTGTGTGTGTGTCTACATGTGTGTGTACGTGTGTGTGCGTGTGTACATGGGGAGCGATAGTGTAGCGGTTAGCGCGCTGCGCTATGAACCTGGCGACCCGGGTTCGATTCCCGCTCACGGCCAACATCAGTGACGATTATCTGAACCGGTCCCGGGCCTCCCCTAGGTCGACTCAGCCTCAAATGAGTAGCTGGTGCGGTGTGTAAACATTGCCACTAGGGAGACAAAGGCGGTCGGGCGTGGTGCTGGCCACCCACCCCCTCGTGTACCGTTCCGGCCTTCATAGGTGCTCGCTAACAGCACTTGCCCCTACAGTCTGTTAAGGCTATATGGGGGATCTTTGTTTGTTTGTGTGTCTACATGTGTGTGTACGTGTGTGTGCGTGTGTACATGTGTGTGTGTACGTGTGTGCGTGTGTACATGTGTGCGTGTGTGTACGTGTGCGTGTGTGTACGTGTGCGTGTGTGTGTGTACATGTGTGTGTACGTGTGTGTGTGTGTGTACATGCGTGTGTGTGTGTGTGTGCGTGCAGGGTGCGGCCAGGCACCTTCTCCTACGTGGGCACCAAGGACAAGCGGGCGGTCACCGTGCAGGAGGTGGCGGCGCTACGGTGACCTCACACACAGACACAGACAAAGCTCCCCCGCGTAGCCTGCGCACGTTGTCGGGGCAAGTGCCCTTCGAGGTGAGCAGCACCTACGAATGCCCAGCGGGTTTTGCCCGAGACAAAATAAACGTAACAAAACGTGCCAGGGGGTGGGCTGGCCGGCACCATGCCCCGGCCACCTTTGTCTCCCCAGTGCTGATGATTAATATGCACACCGCACCAGGTGATCATTTGAGGCTGAGTTGACCTAGGGAGGCTTGGGACCGGCTCAAATTATCGTCACTTGTGATGGCCATGGGTGGGAAGGATCCCTGCTGCATTCATAGCGCAGTGTGCACACTCGCACACACACACAGACACACTCACACAGACACACACACACTCACATGCACTCACACACTCACACACACACTCACACACACACACTCACACACACTCACACACACACTCACACACACTAACACTCACACACTCACACACACTCACACACTCACACACACTCACACACACACTAACACACACTCACACACACTCACACACACTCACACTCACTAACACACACACACATGCTCACTAACACTAACAACAACAACCGCCATTCGCCACTAAGTGGCGGTGACGTCACCACGACGCTTGTGCCAGGCTATGTGCACCCTGAGGCCATGTGAAGTGTCGAACGCCCGCTGGCAGGAGGTCACGGGGCAGACCCAGGTGCCACGGGTCGACTGACTGAGATGACTGGCTGATGCACCACCTGTGCCCCCTACTGTGCCAACCTGCTGTGCTTTAGCCACCCGGCGCTCCGCTCGTTGTTGTGAGCGTCGCTCCTCCGCCCTCCGTTGTTGTTGGAGGGCGACTACCTCCAACTGCCCAGTAGCATCCTTCACGAGCCTCCTCCACAGAGGCCAAACTTGACACCGCTGGTACCAGTCATCGGCAAGTCCACTCAGCTCCACGTCCTCCTGTACCACATCACTCCATCTCTTCTCTAGCCCGTGCCGCGCCCGCTTAGCCCCCTCAATCCGGCCGAACAAAAGCTGTTTCGGCATGCGGTGGCTGGGCATGCGGGCTACATGACCCAGTCATCGCAGCCTTGCCCGCCGGAGGAGCTCACCGATGGGACCTTGCCCAGATCTTTCAAGGATTTGTGAGCTCCTCACACAATCCAGCCTGGTTAAACCCAGGATGCATCGTAGGCAGGCCAGCCTAAATGTTTCTAACCGGCGAAGATGTTCCATTAGGGGGGTCCACGTTTCGCAAGCGTAGAGAAGGGAGGGAATGACCGTGGCCGAGAAGACCTGAAGCTTAGTGCGGAGCGACAGACCAGGTAGCTTCCACACAGCGTTAGGCAACCGATGAAAAGATATTGCCGCTCGACTGATTCGGAGTGAGACCTCTGCTGTTAAACTGGAGCCAGTCATAAGCACACTGCCCAGGTATGGGAAACTCTCCACTCTCTCCACAACTGCCCCATCACCGATTGGGAGTTGTGGGGGTCGAGTGTCCGATGGTACAAAATACCCAGGCAGGTGCTTAGTTTTGGTGGGGCTGATGGTAAGGCCCCACCTCTTATTGGCACGCTCCAGTCTCAGCAGCAGCAGCGTCTCCAACTCCTCCTCTGACTGAGCAGCTATTACCAAATCATCAGCATACATAACGTGGTTAACCAACACAAACACACATACGCTCACACACACTCACACACACACTAACACACACTCACACTCACACACACACTCACACACACTCACACACACTCACACACACTCACACACTCACACACACTCACACACACACACTCACACACACTCACACACACTCACACACACTCACACACTCACACACACTCACACACACTCAAACAGACTCACATACTCACACACACACACTCACACACACTCACACACACTCACACACACACTCACACACACTCACACATACACACTCACGTGCTCACCAATCTCTGCCCCTCGTGTGCAGGGTGAGTGCGGAGCGGCTGGCACAGCTGAACCGCTGCCTGCGTGGGGTGCGTCTGGGGAACTTCTCGTACGCTCGCAGCGGCCTCCGCCTGGGGGCGCTGCAGGGAAACCGTTTCAGCGTCGTGCTGCGGTGCGCAAGGACACCCCCACCCCACGCACAGACGCTCGCTCGCACAGACACTCGCAAGCTCACTCGCTCACTCGCTCACTCGCTCACTCGCCCACTCGCCCACCCGCTCACTCGCTCACCCGCTCGCTCACTCACTCGCTCACCCACCCACCCACCCACTCACATACCTGCTCACTCACGCACCCACTCACTCGCTTACTTACTTGCTTGCTCACCTACCCACTCATACATTTACCCACTCATACACCCGCTCACCCACTCACCCACCCACCCATCCACTCACCCATCATCTCTCACTCGCTCACTCCCTCACTTACTCACCCACTCACCCACCCATCCACTCATCCACCTACTCAATCATTCACCCACTCATACACCCACTCACGTACTCACCCACCCGCTGACCCACCCACTGACCCACTTACTCCATCATTCACCCACTCATACACCCACTCACCTACTCATCCACACGCTCACCCATCCACTGACCCACTTACTCAATCATTCACCCACTCATACACCCACTCACCTACTCAACCACACGCTCACCCTTCCACTGACCCACTTACTCAATCATTCACCCACTCATACACCCACTCACCTACTCATCCACACGCTCACCCATCCACTGACCCACTTACTCAATCAGTCACTCACTCATACACCCACTCACCCACTCACCCATCCACTGACCCACTTAATCATTCACTCATACACCCACTCACCTACCCACCCACCACCTGACCCATCCACTGACCCACTTAATCATTCACTCACTCACCCACCTACTCACCCACCCACTCACCCACCTACTCACCCACTCACCCTTGCACATGAGACTTTTCCTGGTCTCTAGAGTGCTCAGCTGGTTAAACACAATAAGTAACAATTTAAATTAACTTTTGAAAAAACACGCCCTTAATGAAGTGTACCGTACGAGTAATGTCAGAACTCCACGACTCCAGGAAGTGGCCATGAAGCTTGCCACAACGTAAGGGCCCGTGGCCAATTACAGCCAACGTCAGTTGAGCGTGGACAATTAGACCCACGCCGAAACATAATAAATACAAACAGAATGTTAAAAAATATAGATATATATATATTTTATGATAGAATATAGTATTGTCATCAGTATGACACAAGTATACCAAGTTTGCAGTCGATACCACATTGGGAAGTGGGTTAAAATCGAGTTACAAGATTTAAGGATACAACAACGACAACAACGACAACAACAGACAGAGTGAGTTAATAGAAATCAACTCAACCCCCCCGCCCCCCCCCCCCCCACCAGCAATGTGACTGGTACAGAGGAGCAGGTTGCCGCGGCGATGACGTCGCTCCGAGACTCCGGCTTCATCAACTACTACGGCATGCAGCGATTCGGCACCACCGCGGTGCCCACTCACCACGTGGGCAGGTGAGGGCAGCTCACCCCGCTCACCCCGCTCACCCCGCTCACCCCACTCACCACGTGGGCAGGTGAGGGCAGCTCACCCCGCTCACCCCGCTCACCCCGCTCACCCCGCTCACCCCGCTCACCACGTGGGCAGGTGAGGGCAGCTCACCCCGCTCACCCCGCTCACCCCGCTCACCCCGCTCACCCCGCTCACCCCGCTCACCACGTGGGCAGGTGAGGGCAGCTCACCCCGCTCACCCCGCTCACCCCGCTCACCCCGCTCACCCCGCTCACCCGCACGCTCACCACGTGGGCAGGTGAGGGCAGCTCACCCCGCTCACCCCGCTCACACCCGCTCACCCCGCTCACCCCGCTCACCCCGCTCACCCCGCTCACCCCGTTCACCTCGCTCACCTGCACGCTCACCACGTGGGCAGGTGAGGGCAGCTCACCCTACTCACCCCGCTCACCCCGCTCACCCCGCTCACCCGCACACTCACCACGTGGGGTGATGAGTGGTGCGCTACTCCCCCACTGGGGTGCCACATGGGTGCTGTCCCCTCCCATGACCCCGTGACCCCGTGACCCCGTGACCCACAGGGCCATGCTGCAGGGAAACTGGCCGGAGGTGCTGGACCTGGTGCTGAAGCCTCGGCCTGGAGGTGAGGACGAATTACACTCACCCAGACTCACCCACACTCACCCACACTCACCCACACTCACCCACACTCACCCACACTCACCAACACTCACCCACACTCACCCACACTCACCCACACTCACCCACACTCACCAACACTCACCCACACTCACCCAGACTCACCCACACTCACCCACACTCACCCACACTCACCCACACTCACCCACACTCACCAACACTCACCCACACTCACCCACACTCACCCACACTCACCCACACTCACCAACACTCACCCACACTCACCCAGACTCACCCAGACTCACCCAGACTCACCCACACTCACCCACACTCACCCAGACTCACCCACACTCACCCACACTCACCCACACTCACCCACACTCACCCAGACTCACCCACACTCACCCACACTCACCCACACTCACCCACACTCACCCAGACTCACCCACACTCACCCACACTCACCCACACTCACCCACACTCACCCAGACTCACCCACACTCACCCACACTCACCCAGACTCACCCAGACTCACCCAGACTCACCCACACTCACCCAGACTCACCCAGACTCACCCACACTCACCCACACTCACCCACACTCACCCAGACTCACCCAGACTCACCCAGACTCACCCAGACTCACCCACACTCACCCACACTCACCCACACTCACCCAGACTCACCCACACTCACCCAGACTCACCCAGACTCACCCACACTCACCCACACTCACCCACACTCACCCACACTCACCCAGACTCACCCACACTCACCCACACTCACCCACACTCACCCAGACTCACCCAGACTCACCCAGACTCACCCAGACTCACCCACACTCACCCACACTCACCCACACTCACCCAGACTCACCCACACTCACCCACACTCACCCACACTCACCCAGACTCACCCACACTCACCCACACTCACCCACACTCACCCACACTCACCCACACTCACCCAGACTCACCCAGACTCACCCACACTCACCCAGACTCACCCAGACTCACCCACACTCACCCACACTCACCCACACTCACCCACACTCACCCAGACTCACCCACACTCACCCACACTCACCCACACTCACCCAGACTCACCCAGACTCACCCACACTCACCCACACTCACCCACACTCACCCACACTCACCCACACTCACCCAGACTCACCCACACTCACCCACACTCACCCAGACTCACCCAGACTCACCCACACTCACCCAGACTCACCCACACTCACCCACACTCACCCACGCTCACCCACACTCACCCACACTCACCCACACTCACCCACACTCACCCAGACTCACCCACACTCACCCACACTCACCCACACTCACCCACACTCACCCACACTCACCCAGACTCACCCACACTCACCCACACTCACCCAGACTCACCCAGACTCACCCACACTCACCCAGACTCACCCAGACTCACCCAGACTCACCCACACTCACCCACACTCACCCAGACTCACCCACACTCACCCACACTCACCCACACTCACCCACACTCACCCAGACTCACCCACACTCACCCACACTCACCCACACTCACCCAGACTCACCCACACTCACCCACACTCACCCACACTCACCCAGACTCACCCACACTCACCCACACTCACCCAGACTCACCCAGACTCACCCACACTCACCCACACTCACCCACACTCACCCAGACTCACCCACACTCACCCACACTCACCCAGACTCACCCACACTCACCCAGACTCACCCAGACTCACCCACACTCACCCACACTCACCCACACTCACCCAGACTCACCCACACTCACCCAGACTCACCCAGACTCACCCACACTCACCCAGACTCACCCACACTCACCCACACTCACCCACACTCACCCAGACTCACCCAGACTCACCCACACTCACCCACACTCACCCACACTCACCCAGACTCACCCACACTCACCCACACTCACCCACACTCACCCACACTCACCCACACTCACCCAGACTCACCCAGACTCACCCACACTCACCCACACTCACCCAGACTCACCCAGACTCACCCACACTCACCCACACCAGACTCACCCACACTCACCCACACTCACCCACGACTCACCCACACTCACCCACACTCACCCACACTCACCCAGACTCACCCAGACTCACCCACACTCACCCAGACTCACCCACACTCACCCACACTCACCCAGACTCACCCAGACTCACCCACACTCACCCAGACTCACCCACACTCACCCACGCTCACCCACACTCACCCACACTCACCCAGACTCACCCACACTCACCCACACTCACCCAGACTCACCCACACTCACCCACACTCACCCACACTCACCCAGACTCACCCACACTCACCCACACTCACCCAGACTCACCCACACTCACCCACACTCACCCAGACTCACCCACACTCACCCACACTCACCCACGCTCACCCACACTCACCCAGACTCACCCACACTCACCCACACTCACCCAGACTCACCCACACTCACCCACACTCACCCACACTCACCAACACTCACCCAGACTCACCCAGACTCACCCACACTCACCCACACTCACCCACACTCACCCAGACTCACCCAGACTCACCCACGCTCACCCACGCTCACCCACGCTCACCCACGCTCACCCACACTCACCCACGCTCACCCACGCTCACCCACGCTCACCCACGCTCACCCAGACTCACCCACACTCACCCACACTCACCCAGACTCACCCACACTCACCCACACTCACCCAGACTCACCCACACTCACCCACACTCACCCAGACTCACCCAGACTCACCCACACTCACCCACACTCACCCAGACTCACCCAGACTCACCCACACTCACCCACACTCACCCAGACTCACCCAGACTCACCCACGCTCACCCACGCTCACCCACGCTCACCCACGCTCACCCACACTCACCCAGACTCACCCACACTCACCCACGCTCACCCACGCTCACCCACGCTCACCCACGCTCACCCACGCTCACCCACACTCACCCACGCTCACCCACGCTCACCCCCGCTCACCCACGCTCACCCACGCTCACCCACGCTCACCCACGCTCACCCACGCTCCCCCACGCTCCCCCACGCTCACCCACGCTCACCCACGCTCGCCCACGCTCACCCACGCTCACCCACGCTCACCCACGCTCACCCACGCTCACCCACGCTCACCCACGCTCACCCACGCTCCCCCACGCTCACCCACGCTCGCCCACGCTCACCCACGCTCACCCACACTCACCCACGCTCACCCACGCTCACCCACGCTCACCCACGCTCACCCACGCTCACCCAGACTCACCCAGACTCACCCACGCTCACCCACGCTCACCCACACTCACCCACGCTCACCCACGCTCACCCACACTCACCCACGCTCACCCACGCTCACCCACGCTCACCCACGCTCACCCACACTCACCCACGCTCACCCACGCTCGCCCACGCTCGCTCACGCTCACCAACGCTCACCCACGCTCACCCACACTCTCCCACACTCACCCACGCTCACCCACGCTCACCCACACTCACCCACACTCACCCACGCTCACCCACGCTTACCCACGCTCACCCACACTCACCCACGCTCACCCACACTCACCCACACTCACCCACGCTCACCCACACTCACCCACACTCACCCACATTCACCCACACTCACCCACGCTCACCCACGCTCACCCACACTCACCCAGACTCAACCACGCTCACCCACGCTCACCCACGCTCACCCACGCTCACCCACGCTCAGCCACACTCACCCACGCTCAGCAACACTCACCCACGCTCACCCACGCTCACCCACGCTCGCCCACGCTCGCCCACGCTCACCCACGCTCACCCACACTCACCCAGACTCACCCACGCTCACCCACACTCACCCACGCTCACCCACACTCACCCACACTCACGCTCACCCACACTCACCCACACTCACCCACACTCACCAACACCCACACTCACCCACACTCACCCACACTCACCAACACTCACCAACACCCACGCTCACCCACACTCACCCACACTCACCCACGCTCACCAACACTCACCCACACTCACCAACACTCACCCACGCTCACACGTACTCACCCACACTCACCCACACTCACCCACACTCACCCACGCTCACCAACACTCACCCAGACTCACCCACACTCACCAACACTCACCCACGCTCACCCACACTCACCCACGCTCACCCACACTCACCCAGACTCACCCGTACTCACCCACACTCACCCACGCTCACCCACGCTCACCAACACTCACCCACACTCACCAACACTCACCCACACTCACCCACACTCACCCACGCTCACCAACGCTCACCCACGCTCACCCACGCTCACCAACACTCACCCACGCTCACCCACGCTTTCCAACACTCACCCACACTCACCCACACTCACCCACGCTCACCCGTACTCACCCACACTCACCCGTACTCACCCACGCTCACCCACACTCACGCACGCTCACCCACACTCACCCACGCTCACCAACACTCACCCACGCTCACCCACGCTCACCCAGACCCACCCAGACTCACCCACACTCACCCACACTCACCAACACTCACCCACACTCACCCACACTCACGCTCACCCACACTCACCCACACTCACCCACACTCACGCTCACCCACACTCACCCACACTCACCCACACTCACCAACACCCACACTCACCCACACTCACCCACACTCACCAACACTCACCAACATCCACGCTCACCCACACTCACCCACACTCACCCACGCTCACCAACACTCACCCACGCTCACCCACGCTCACCCACGCTCACCCACACTCACCAACACTCACCCACGCTCACACGTACTCACCCACGCTCACCCACACTCACCCACACTCACCCACGCTCACCCACGCTCACCCACGCTCACCAACACTCACCCAGACTCACCAACGCTCACCCACGCTCACCCACGCTCACCCACGCTCACCCGTACTCACCCACACTCACCCACGCTCACCCACGCTCACCAACACTCACCCACACTCACCAACACTCACCCACACTCACCCACGCTCACCAACGCTCACCCACGCTCACCCACGCTCACCCACGCTCACCAACACTCACCCACGCTCACCCACGCTTTCCAACACTCACCCACACTCACCCACGCTCACCCGTACTCACCCACACTCACCCGTACTCACCCACGCTCACCCACACTCACCCACGCTCACCCACACTCACCCACACTCACCAACACTCACCCACGCTCACCCGTACTCACCCACACTCACCCACGCTCACCAACACTCACCCGTACTCACCCGTACTCACCCACGCTCACCCACACTCACCCGTACTCACCCACGCTCACCCACACTCACCCGTACTCACCCACACTCACCCATGCTCACCCGTACTCACCCACGCTCACCCACACTCACCCACACTCACCAACACTCACCAACACTCACCCACACTCAACAACACTCACCCGTACTCACCCGTACTCAACCATGCTCACCCAAACTCACCCGTACTCACCCACGCTCACCCACACTCACTCACACTCACCCGTATTCACCCACACTCACCCACGCTCACCCACGCTCACCCGTACTCACCCACACTCACCCACACTCACCCACACTCACCCACGCTCACCCACGCTCACCCGTACTCACCCACACTCACCCACGCTCACCCACACTCACCCACGCTCACCCACGCTCACCCACGCTCACCCACACTCACTCACACTCACCCGTATTCACCCACACTCACCCACGCTCACCCACGCTCACCCGTACTCACCCACACTCACCCACACTCACCCACACTCACCCACGCTCACCCACGCTCACCCGTACTCACCCACACTCACCCACGCTCACCCACACTCACTCACACTCACCCACGCTCACCCGTACTCACCCACACTCACCCACGCTCACCCACACTCACCCACGCTCACCCACGCTCACCCACGCTCACCCACACTCACTCACACTCACCCGTATTCACCCACACTCACCCACGCTCACCCACGCTCACCCGTATTCACCCACACTCACCCACGCTCACCCACGCTCACCCGTACTCACCCACACTCACCCACACTCACCCACGCTCACCCACGCTCACCCGTACTCACCCACGCTCACCCACACTCACCCACACTCACCCACGCTCACCCACACTCACCCACGCTCACCCACGCTCACCCACGCTCACCCACACTCACTCACACTCACCCGTAATCACCCACACTCACCCACGCTCACCCACGCTCACCCGTACTCACCCACACTCACGCACGCTCACCCACACTCACTCACACTCACCCGTACTCACCCACACTCACCCACGCTCACCCACACTCACTCACACTTACCCACACTCACCCACGCTCACCCACACTGCCTCTCTGTCTGTGTGTGGGGAGCGGTGGCGCAGCGGTTAGCGCCGCGCTACGAACCCGGCGACCCGAGTTCGATTCCCGCTCACGGCCCAACAACCACCGTCGGTGACGATTATCAGAACCGGTACCCGGGCCACCCCTAGGTCGACTCAGGCTCAAACGAGTACCCGGCGCGGCGTGCGGTAAACGTCGCCGCTGGGGGAGACAAAGGCGGCCGGGCCTCGGCGCCGGCCGCCCACCGCCGCCTCGTGCGCCGTGCCGGCCTTGGCAGGCGCCGGTCGCTCACGGCACTCGCCCCGACGCTCCGTGGAGGCTACGCGGGGGACCTTTGCCTGCGTGTGAGCGTAGCGGAGCGCCCGGAGCTGGTGCGCTGCCGGCAGGAGTGGGGGCGCTCGCGCGACGCGGCGCTGGCGCTGGCGCTGCTGCCGGCGCGCTGCCGCGGGGGCGTGGAGGGGCGGCTCCTGCAGGGGCTGACGCGGCACGCGCCGGGGGACATCACCGGGGCCTTCTCCTGCGTGAGGCTCGCACGCTCGTGATCACGTGATCACGTGATCACGCACGCTCGCTCGCACGCTCACTCGCACGCTCGCTCGCACGTGATCACTCGTTCACTCACACTCGCTCGCTCACTCACGTGATCACTCGCTCACACGCTCACTCACACGCTCGCTCGCACGTGATCACTCACGCTCGCTCTCACACTCAACTCGCTCACTCACTCACATGATCACTCACGCTCGCTCGCACACTCAACTCGCTCACTCACTC